TCAGAGAAGATTCCCGGAATATTCCTGATACACCTCACCATCCAGACTTCTGTTTACGTCACTTTGGTTTTCCTTCATCGCCTCCTAGGCTTCAAAAGTTAGAAGGATGAAACAGCTGTATGATGTAGATTAATTCATTGTTTGGCTCTATCGTATCTACCTCTTAATGATTAAGAGGTGTTACTCGCTTGTGTGTCTTTTGTATAATCTTTTTGAAATTTAGTTCGCTCATTTTTTACTTTTCTTCATTCGTCTTCTTAGTTGAACATTTAGACCCTTAGCATCACTGATCCAAAAATATGAAACAGCTGTATGATGCAGTGTAGTCCATTATTTGACCTGCTGTATGTAATGATTACCGTCAGTGTAGTCCATTATTTGACCTGCTGTATGTAATGATTACCGTCAGTGTAGTCCATTATTTGACCTGCTGTATGTAATGATTACCGTCAGTGTAGTTCATTATTTGACCTGCTGTATGTAATGATTACCGTCAGTGTAGTCCATTATTTGACCTGCTGTATGTAATGATTACCGTCAGTGTAGTCCATTATTTGACCTGCTGTATGTAATGATTACCGTCAGTGTAGTCCATTATTTGACCTGCTGTATCTAATGATTACCGTCAGTGTAGTCCATTATTTGACCTGCTGTATGTAATGATTACCGTCAGTGTAGTCCATTATTTGACCTGCTGTATGTAATGATTACCGTCAGTGTAGTCCATTATTTGACCTGCTGTATGTAATGATTACCGTCAGTGTAGTCCATTATTTTACCTGCTGTATCTAATGATTACCGTCAGTGTAGTCCATTATTTGACCTGCTGTATGTAATGATTACCGTCAGTGTAGTCCATTATTTGACCTGCTGTATGTAATGATTACCGTCAGTGTAGTCCATTATTTGACCTGCTGTATGTAATGATTACCGTCAGTGTAGTCCATTATTTGACCTGCTGTATGTAATGATTACCGTCAGTGTAGTCCATTATTTGACCTGCTGTATGTAATGATTACCGTCAGTGTAGTCCATTATTTGACCTGCTGTATGTAATGATTACCGTCAGTGTAGTCCATTATTTGACCTGCTGTATGTAATGATTACCGTCAGTGTAGTCCATTATTTGACCTGCTGTATGTAATGATTACCGTCAGTGTAGTCCATTATTTGACCTGCTGTATGTAATGATTATTTGACCATTATTTGACCTGTATGTAATGATTACCGTCAGTGTAGTCCATTATTTGACCTGCTGTATGTAATGATTACCGTCAGTGTAGTCCATTATTTGACCTGCTGTATGTAATGATTACCGTCAGTGTAGTCCATTATTTGACCTGCTGTATGTAATGATTACCGTCAGTGTAGTCCATTATTTGACCTGCTGTATGTAATGATTACCGTCAGTGTAGTCCATTATTTGACCTGCTGTATGTAATGATTACCGTCAGTGTAGTCCATTATTTGACCTGCTGTATGTAATGATTACCGTCAGTGTAGTCCATTATTTGACCTGCTGTATGTAATGATTACCGTCAGTGTAGTCCATTATTTGACCTGCTGTATGTAATGATTACCGTCAGTGTAGTCCATTATTTGACCTGCTGTATGTAATGATTACCGTCAGTGTAGTCCATTATTTGACCTGCTGTATGTAATGATTACCGTCAGTGTAGTCCATTATTTGACCTGCTGTATGTAATGATTACCGTCAGTGTAGTCCATTATTTGACCTGCTGTATGTAATGATTACCGTCAGTGTAGTCCATTATTTGACCTGCTGTATGTTACCGTCAGTGTAGTCCATTATTTATTTGACCTGCTGTATGTAATGATTACCGTCAGTGTAGTCCATTATTTGACCTGCTGTATGTAATGATTACCGTCAGTGTAGTCCATTATTTGACCTGCTGTATGTAATGATTACCGTCAGTGTAGTCCATTATTTGACCTGCTGTATGTAATGATTACCGTCAGTGTAGTCCATTATTTGACCTGCTGTATGTAATGATTACCGTCAGTGTAGTCCATTATTTGACCTGCTGTATGTAATGATTACCGTCAGTGTAGTCCATTATTTGACCTGCTGTATGTAATGATTACCGTCAGTGTAGTCCATTATTTGACCTGCTGTATGTAATGATTACCGTCAGTGTAGTCCATTATTTGACCTGCTGTATGTAATGATTACCGTCAGTGTAGTCCATTATTTGACCTGCTGTATGTAATGATTACCGTCAGTGTAGTCCATTATTTGACCTGCTGTATGTAATGATTACCGTCAGTGTAGTCCATTATTTGACCTGCTGTATGTAATGATTACCGTCAGTGTAGTCCATTATTTGACCTGCTGTATGTAATGATTACCGTCAGTGTAGTCCATTATTTGACCTGCTGTATGTAATGATTACCGTCAGTGTAGTCCATTATTTGACCTGCTGTATGTAATGATTACCGTCAGTGTAGTCCATTATTTGACCTGCTGTATGTAATGATTACCGTCAGTGTAGTCCATTATTTGACCTGCTGTATGTAATGATTACCGTCAGTGTAGTCCATTATTTGACCTGCTGTATGTAATGATTACCGTCAGTGTAGTCCATTATTTGACCTGCTGTATGTAATGATTACCGTCAGTGTAGTCCATTATTTGACCTGCTGTATGTAATGATTACCGTCAGTGTAGTCCATTATTTGACCTGCTGTATGTAATGATTACCGTCAGTGTAGTCCATTATTTGACCTGCTGTATGTAATGATTACCGTCAGTGTAGTCCATTATTTGACCTGCTGTATGTAATGATTACCGTCAGTGTAGTCCATTATTTGACCTGCTGTATGTAATGATTACCGTCAGTGTAGTCCATTATTTGACCTGCTGTATGTAATGATTACCGTCAGTGTAGTCCATTATTTGACCTGCTGTATGTAATGATACCGTTACCTGCTGTATGTCAGTGTAGTCCATTATTTGACCTGCTGTATGTAATGATTACCGTCAGTGTAGTCCATTATTTGACCTGCTGTATGTAATGATTACCGTCAGTGTAGTCCATTATTTGACCTGCTGTATGTAATGATTACCGTCAGTGTAGTCCATTATTTGACCTGCTGTATGTAATGATTACCGTCAGTGTAGTCCATTATTTGACCTGCTGTATGTAATGATTACCGTCAGTGTAGTCCATTATTTGACCTGCTGTATTAATGACCGTCAGTGTAGTCCATTATTTGATGTAATGATTACCGTCAGTGTAGTCCATTATTTGACCTGCTGTATGTAATGATTACCGTCAGTGTTCCATTATTTGACCTGCTGTATGTAATTGATTACCGTATGTAATCCATTATTTTGACCTGCTGTATGTAATGATTACCGATGTAGTCCATTATTTGACCTGCTGTATCTTATGATTACCGTCAGTGTAGTCCATTATTTGACCTGCTGTATGTAATGATTACCGTCAGTGTAGTCCATTATTTGACCTGCTGTATGTAATGATTACCGTCAGTGTAGTGACCTGTTCTGTATGTAATGATTACCGTCAGTGTAGTCCATTATTTGACCTGCTGTATGTAATGATTACCGTCAGTGTAGTCCATTATTTGACCTGCTGTATGTAATGATTACCGTCAGTGTAGTCCATTATTTGACCTGCTGTATGTAATGATTACCGTCAGTGTAGTCCATTATTTGACCTGCTGTATGTAATGATTACCGTCAGTGTAGTCCATTATTTGACCTGCTGTATGTAATGATTACCGTCAGTGTAGTCCATTATTTGACCTGCTGTATGTAATGATTACCGTCAGTGTAGTCCATTATTTGACCTGCTGTATGTAATGATTACCGTCAGTGTAGTCCATTATTTGACTGTATGTAATGATTGCAGTGTGTCCATTATGCTGTATGTAATGATTACCGTCAGTGTAGTCCATTATTTGACCTGCTGTATGTAATGATTACCGTCAGTGTAGTCCATTATTTGACCTGCTGTATGTAATGATTACCGTCAGTGTAGTCCATTATTTGACCTGCCTAATAGGAAATTGTTAGAAATTAACTTTGACACCTCAGAATGGCCATCACCAGCTATAACATACATGTTAATTTGTCTGAACGCAGCTGATCTAAATGTTGACAAACAAGTTTTACTTTCTGTCTTTTTTCTATTTCATCAAGTTTTTAATCAAAATAATTAATGTTGTCTAACGGCGGTCTAAATGTTCAGCCTTAAGATAGTATTTCATAAGAATTTATCAATACCACTGGATATTGTAAAATGAAATTCAGTCCTGAAGTTGAAGGAATTAATCTCAGATCAAATTTGAACATGAAACCTTTGTGTTTGATTTCTTATTATTTTTTAAATCATGAATTTTCTTAAAACGGCGTACTTCACCTAAAGCAAATACAAATTAATTTGGCAGAAAAGTTGTTTTTGTTCATAACCAACTGAAAAAAAATTAAATGATCGTTAACATTTCAACATCACTATTTTTTATAAAACTAGTGCTAGCACCATCCGCAGTTCACAACGATTGACAACACCATCCCTGATTATAACGACTGTCAACACCATCCCCAGTTTATTACGATTGACAACACCTTCCCCAGTTTATTTCGATTGACAACACCATCCCCAGTTTATTTCGATTGACAACACCATCCTCAGTTTATTACGATTGACAACACCATCCTCAGTTTATTGACAACACTGTCCCCAGTTTATTGACAACACTGTTCCCTGTTAATAAAAGTAATACTTTGACATCACGTGTCATGTGACTTCGTTCTGCATTTGAAATGTGAGTGTGTGTGTGTGTGTGTGTGTGCGTGCGTGAGTGCGTGTGTGTGGGGGGGGGGGGAGGGGGTGGAGAGAGAGAAGGGGGGGAGGGGGGCTGTCATTGAAATCAATACTATCTTTATTTTTCGTTCCAGAGTACAAGAAACTGGTTGAGGACGAAGACTCTTCACTGGCAGAGTAATAGCGGAAATGGGAGAGATGACGTCCACGAAAAACTGCATGAAAGCGACGATAATGATCGCAAGCGTTCCTGTCATTGTAAGTAATGAAGCAGATAAGGCTAATCGATCCGTTTGAATTATTATTCAAGAATGTAAGATGTGTTTACAACTTAGCACCACCTCTTTTAGTTCATCCTCGTTACTTTCGCTCTATGCTACCCTGGAACCATCCTCGATAATCCAGGGGCTGCGATCACTTACGCTCTCTGTACCTCTGGTCCATTTTCGATACTCCAGTGGCTACGATCACTTTCATTCTCTGTACCCCTGGAACTATCCTCGATACTCCGGGGGTTACGATCACTTTCGCTCTCTGTACCCCTGGAACCATCCTCGATAATCCAGGGGTTACGACCACTTTCTCTCTCTGTACCTCTGGAACCATCCTCGATACTACTGTGGTTATGATCACTTTCTCTCTCTGTACCCCTGGAACCATCATTGAAACTACTGGGGTTACGATCACTTTCGCTCTCTGTCGCCCTGGAACCATCCTCGATACTCCAGGGGTTACGATCACTTTCATTCTCTGTCCCCCTGGAACCATCCTCGATACTCCAGGGGTTACAATCACTTTCTCTCTCTGTACCCCTGGAACCATCCTCGATACTCCAGGGGTTACGATCGCTTTCTCTCTCTGTACCGCTGGAACCACTCTCGATACTCCAGGGGCTACGATCACTTTCGCTCTCTGTACCCCTGGAACCATCCTGGATATTCCAAGGGTTATGATCACTTTCTCTCTCTGTACCCCTGGAACCATCCTGGATATTCCAAGGGTTATGATCACTTTCTCTCTGTGTACCCCTGGAACCATCCTGGATATTCCAAGGGTTATGATCACTTTCGCTCTCTGTACCCCTGGAACCATCCTGGATATTCCAAGGGTTATGATCACTTTCTCTCTATGTACCCCTGGAACCTTATCTTCCTCGTGGATTATCGTTATGATATAGTGGTTATTGAATCTTCCTCGTGGATTATCGTTATGATATAGTGTATCATTGATTTATCTTCCTCGTGGATTATCGTTATGATATGTAGAGACAGTGATTTATCTTCCTCGTGGATTATCGTTATGATATAGTGTATATTGATTTCTCTTCCTCGTGGATTATCGTTATGATATAGTGTAGAGACAGTGATTTATCTTCCTCGTGGATTATCGTTATGATATAGTGTATATCAGTGATTTATGATCGTGGATTATCGTTATGATATAGTGTAGATTGACAGTGATTTATCTTCCTCGTGGATTATCGTTATGATATAGTGTAGACAGTGATTTATCTTCCTCGTGGATTATCGTTATGATTTTGTGTCGAGTCTGTGATTTATCTTCCTCGTGGATTATCGTTATGATATAGTGTAGAGACAGTGATTTATCTTCCTCGTGGATTATCGTTATGATATAGTGTAGAGACAGTGATTTATCTTCCTCGTGGATTATCGTTATGATATAGTGTAGAGACAGTGATTTATCTTCCTCGTGGATTATCGTTATGATATAGTGTAGAGACAGTGATTTATCTTCCTCGTGGATTATCGTTATGATATAGTGTAGAGACAGTGATTTATCTTCCTCGTGGATTATCGTTATTATGATATAGTGTAGAGACAGTGATTTATCTTCCTCGTGGATTATCGTTATGATATAGTGTAGAGACAGTGATTTATCTTCCTCGTGGATTATCGTTATGATATAGTGTAGAGACAGTGATTTATCTTCCTCGTGGATTATCGTTATGATATAGTGTAGAGACAGTGATTTATCTTCCTCGTGGATTATCGTTATGATATAGTGTCAGTGATTTATCTTCCTCGTGGATTATCGTTATGATATAGTGTAGAGACAGTGATTTATCTTCCTCGTGGATTATCGTTATGATATAGTGTAGAGACAGTGATTTATCTTCCTCGTGGATTATCGTTATGATATAGTGTAGAGACAGTGATTTATCTTCCTCGTGGATTATCGTTATGATATAGTGTAGAGACAGTGATTTATCTTCCTCGTGGATTATCGTTATGATATAGTGTATATTGATTTATCTTCCTCGTGGATTATCGTTATGATATAGTGTAGAGACAGTGATTTATCTTCCTCGTGGATTATCGTTATGATATAGTGTAGAGACAGTGATTTATCTTCCTCGTGGATTATGTATATTGATTTATCTTCCTCGTGGATTATCGTTATGATATAGTGTAGAGACAGTGATTTATCTTCCTCGTGGATTATCGTTATGATATAGTGTAGAGACAGTGATTTATCTTCCTCGTGGATTATCGTTATGATATAGTGTAGAGACAGTGATTTATCTTCCTCGTGGATTATCGTTATGATATAGTGTATATTGATTTATCTTCCTCGTGGATTATCGTTATGATATAGTGTAGAGACAGTGATTTATCTTCCTCGTGGATTATCGTTATGATATAGTGTAGAGACAGTGATTTATCTTCCTCGTGGATTATCGTTATGATATAGTTATCGTTATGATAGAGTGGATAGTGATTTATCTTCCTCGTGGATTATCGTTATGATATAGTGTAGAGACAGTGATTTATCTTCCTCGTGGATTATCGTTATGATATATATATCGTTATGATATAGTGTAGAGACAGTGATTTATCTTCCTCGTGGATTATCGTTATGATATAGTGTAGAGACAGTATATTTTTTTATCTTCCTCGTGGATTATCGTTATGATATAGTGTAGTGATTTATCTTCCTCGTGGATTATCGTTATGATATAGTGTATATTGATTTATCTTCCTCGTGGATTATCGTTATGATATAGTGTAGAGACAGTGATTTATCTTCCTCGTGGATTATCGTTATGATATAGTGTAGAGACAGTGATTTATCTTCCTCGTGGATTATCGTTATGATATAGTGTAGAGACAGTGATTTATCTTCCTCGTGGATTATCGTTATGATATAGTGTAGAGACAGTGATTTATCTTCCTCGTGGATTATCTTGATTTATCTTCCTCGTGGATTATCGTTATGATATAGTGTAGAGACAGTGATTTATCTTCCTCGTGGATTATCGTTATGATATAGTGTAGAGACAGTGATTTATCTTCCTCGTGGATTATCGTTATGATATAGTGTATATTGATTTATCTTCCTCGTGGATTATCGTTATGATATAGTGTAGAGACAGTGTAGAGACAGTGATTTATCTTCCTCGTGGATTATCGTTATGATATTGGGTCGAGATTGATTTATCTTCCTCGTGGATTATCGTTATGATATAGTGTAGAGACAGTGATTTATCTTCCTCGTGGATTATCGTTATGATATAGTGTAGAGACAGTGATTTATCTTCCTCGTGGATTATCGTTATGATATAGTGTAGATCTTCCTCGTGGATTATCGTTATGATATAGTGTATATTGATTTATCTTCCTCGTGGATTATCGTTATGATATAGTGTTATGATATAGTGGATTATCGTTATGATATAGTGTAGAGACAGTGATTTATCTTCCTCGTGGATTATCGTTATGATATAGTGTAGAGACAGTGATTTATCTTCCTGGTGGATTATCGTTATGATATAGTGTAGAGACAGTGATTTATCTTCCTCGTGGATTATCGTTATGATATAGTGTATAGTGATTTATCTTCCTCGTGGATTATCGTTATGATATAGTGTAGAGACAGTGATTTATCTTCCTCGTGGATTATCGTTATGATATAGTGTGTGATATCTTCCTCGTGGATTATCGTTATGATATAGTGATATATTGATTTATCGTGGATTATCGTTATGATATAGTGTAGAGACAGTGATTTATCTTCCTCGTGGATTATCGTTATGATATAGTGTAGAGACAGTGATTTATCTTCCTCGTGGATTATCGTTATGATATAGTGTAGAGACAGTGATTTATCTTCCTCGTGGATTATCGTTATGATATAGTGTAGAGACAGTGATTTATCTTCCTCGTGGATTATCGTTATGATATAGTGTAGAGAAAGTGATTTATCTTCCTCGTGGATTATCGTTATGATATAGTGTAGAGACAGTGATTTATCTTCCTCGTGGATTATCGTTATGATATAGTGTAGAGACAGTGATTTATCTTCCTCGTGGATTATCGTTATGATATATAGTGTAGTGACAGTGATTTATCTTCCTCGTGGATTATCGTTATGATATAGTGTAGAGACAGTGATTTATCTTCCTCGTGGATTATCGTTATGATATAGTGTAGAGACAGTGATTTATCTTCCTCGTGGATTATCGTTATGATATAGTGTAGAGACAGTGATTTATCTTCCTCGTGGATTATCGTTATGATATAGTGTAGAGACAGTGATTTATCTTCCTCGTGGATTATCGTTATGATATAGTTTAGAGACAGTGATTTATCTTCCTCGTGGATTATCGTTATGATATAGTTTAGAGACAGTGATTAATCTTCCTCGTGGATTATCGTTATGATATAGTGTATATTGATTTATCTTCCTCGTGGATTATCGTTATGATATAGTGTAGAGACAGTGATTTATCTTCCTCGTGGATTATCGTTATGATATAGTGTAGAGACAGTGATTTATCTTCCTCGTGGATTATCGTTATGATATAGTGTAGAGACAGTGATTTATCTTCCTCGTGGATTATCGTTATGATATAGTGTAGAGACAGTGATTTATCTTCCTCGTGGATTATCGTTATGATATAGTGTAGAGACAGTGATTTATCTTCCTCGTGGATTATCGTTATGATATAGTGTAGAGACAGTGATTTATCTTCCTCGTGGATTATCGTTATGATATATTGTATATTGATTTATCTTCCTCGTGGATTATCGTTATGATATAGTGTAGAGACAGTGATTTATCTTCCTCGTGGATTATCGTTATGATATAGTGTAGAGACAGTGATTTATCTTCCTCGTGGATTATCGTTATGATATAGTGTAGAGACAGTGATTTATCTTCCTCGTGGATTATCGTTATGATATAGTGTAGAGACAGTGATTTATCTTCCTCGTGTATTATCGTTATGATATAGTGTACATTGATTTATCTTCCTCGTGGATTATCGTTATGATATAGTGTAGAGACAGTGATTTATCTTCCTCGTGGATTATCGTTATGATATAGTGTAGAGACAGTGATTTATCTTCCTCGTGGATTATCGTTATGATATAGTGTAGATCTTCCTCGTGGACAGTATTTATCTTCCTCGTGGATTATATGATATAGTGTAGAGACAGTGATTTATCTTCCTCGTGGATTATCGTTATGATATAGTGTATATTGATTTATCTTCCTCGTGGATTATCGTTATGATATAGTGTATATTGATTTATCTTCCTCGTGGATTATCGTTATGATATAGTGTAGAGACAGTGATTTATCTTCCTCGTGGATTATCGTTATGATATAGTGTAGAGACAGTGATTTATCTTCCTCGTGGATTATCGTTATGATATAGTGTAGAGACAGTGATTTATCTTCCTCGTGGATTATCGTTACGATATAGTGTACATTGATTTATCTTCCTCGTGGATTATCGTTATGATATAGTGTATATTGATTTATCTTCCTCGTGGATTATCGTTATGATATAGTGTAGAGACAGTGATTTATCTTCCTCGTGGATTATCGTTATGATATAGTGTACATTGATTTATCTTCCTCGTGGATTATCGTTATGATATAGTGTATATTGATTTATCTTCCTCGTGGATTATCGTTATGATATAGTGTAGAGATTTATCTTCCTCGTGGATTATCGTTATGATATCGTTATGATATAGTGTGATTTATCTTCCTCGTGGATTATCGTTATGATATAGTGTATTGATTTATCTTCCTCGTGGATTATCGTTATGATATAGTGTAGAGACAGTGATTTATCTTCCTCGTGGATTATCGTTATGATATAGTGTATATTGATTTATCTTCCTCGTGGATTATCGTTATGATATAGTGTAGAGACAGTGATTTATCTTCCTCGTGGATTATCGTTATGATATAGTGTATATTGATTTATCTTCCTCGTGGATTATCGTTATGATATAGTGTATATTGATTTATCTTCCTCGTGGATTATCGTTATGATATAGTGTAGAGACAGTGATTTATCTTCCTCGTGGATTATCGTTATGATATAGTGATAGTGATTTATCTTCCTCGTGGATTATCGTTATGATATAGTGTAATGTTATCGTTATGATATAGTGTAAGATTTCCTCGTGGAAATTTTATAGTTGTATAATAGTGGTATACAAGATCGATAAATCTGCACAAGCTGTTACACTGATATACCTGTCTTAGAGGCTTGAGAGATATTCCCAATATCGATATTGAAAGCTGAGATGCAGATTAACAATTGAATTACAGATTCGGTAGGTGTTGTAATGAATGAGAAATAGAATCTCTAATTAATTTTGAGACTTCTGATTCACGTAGATATTTGTTGTTGATCATTATAGGACAAATCTTAAATGTATTTATTTGACATCGTATACAGTACACAACATACAACGTATTCATTTGACCTCAATGTTATCTCATCTCATCTATTTTTTCATGGGGTGGTGCTCACATTTACATATCAAAGCGTTATACAAATTCATCAAATATCACGTGACGGTTTAACAAATCCATCAAATATCGCGTGACGGTTTTACAAATCCATTAATATCACGTAACGGTTTTACAAATTCATCAAATATCGCGTGACGGTTTTACAAATTCTTCAAATATCACGTGATGGTTTTACAAATTCATCAAATATCACGTGACGGTTTTACAAATCCATCAAATATCACGTGACGGTTTTACAAATCCATTAATATCACGTGGCGGTTTTACAAATTCATCAAATATCGCGTGACGGTTTTACAAATTCATCAAAAAACAAGAAAACAAAAAACAATCCTTTTCTTCATGACATGGTGGTTCCATTTCCTTCACAAGATTTTTAATTTGAAGCTGTATTGGAAAAAAAAATTTTGTTTAATATCATTTGTGGGACACCTTCAACGATTGCATTAAAGAAAAGCTGACGAAATACACCTTACAATACAAATATACAGATACAATAGAGGAATTAATAATGAATAAAACTACAGCACGATTTAGTCTTCCCAAGATTCCTAATGATGCAAAGATTTTTCTACCTAGGAGGCGACGGTCGAAGACTACAACATTGAACATGCTAGTTTGGTGAAATATTCTTTAAACCGAGGAGAACCTAGTCTTTAGAGATATAATTTATAACATGTCTGTTTATCGTCAATATTTCATATATATTGTAAAGGATTGTTCAGTAAACTATCTTATCTCCATGGCCATCATTAAACGTCATCAATTTTCTTTAATAATAAATCATTAACAAAGGATTTCACGCCAACAATACCTATATCAAAAATAATATATCAAGTTATCGGTGTCCTATTTCTAGGTTTGGGATTAACGATCACATGAATTAACCCCAGCTTTATGTTTAATAGGTTATTGGTGCCATATCTCTGGGTATGGGGTTATGGATCGCATTTGACAACCCGAGCTTCATTGGATTGACACACCTTGAAGAATTTTCGGTCGTCGACCAATCATTTGTCAGAAATGGAGCATACATCGTCATTGCTGGCGGGGCATGCGTACTTGCCTTTGGGATATACGGCGTGATAGCTGCGGCAACAGAGAGTCCCGTTTTACTAGGAGTGGTGAGTTCCGGATGGATACTTTTCTTACATCTTCTGTTTATCGTTATGTCTATGATTACAACCTGCCTACAAAAATATACATAGTCACACACAAGCGATTTACACCTTTAAATTTAAGATAAGATACAGACGGGCCAAATAATGAAGTAAACTGCATCTTACAGCTGTTTCGTCTTTTAGGGCTTGTCAATGATGTCAGATCATACAGCTGTTTCGTCGATCTAGGACTCGTCAGTGATACTATATAATACAATTATTTCATCTAGGACTTGTCTTTGATGCTAAGGGCCTAAATTTTGAAGCATAGTAGGTGACAGAGAAAATCCAAATCAACAGAAAGAAAAGTGAGAATCTACACAAAGAGGTACAGCAGCCCCATAATTAAATTAATCTCGTAACCTTTATTAATGTGCTAACTTTAGAACAGCGTCGAGTGCGTGTGCATATCCTGAACAGTGGCACGATTGAAATAAATTAAAACGTTGCATGCCGTTACAGCCAACTGCGGGAGGTAAACGTTTACCTGCATTGTTGTCTCAAAGATTGTACACTAGACACAAGTGAATAAATCCACCAGCAGTGTTAACCTCCTGCTGTCTAAAACGTTTTACACACGACACAAGTGAAGAATACTATTCAGTATTACATGCAATTGCCAAACAATGAATTTAACTTCATAATACATCTTATTTGTCCTTTAAAATTAAAAATCCAGATTATAAGCTGCAGTGTTGATCAGTTTCTGTCTGGCATTAGTATTTTGTATATGTCAATATTTTAATTGTGGAACATTTTGTTTCTATAGTACGTTACACTGCTGTCACTGGTCATGGCCATTGAAGTTGCAGCTACCGTTTTAGGAGTGGTCTTTAAACACATGGTAAGGAATCTGGTCACTGTTTGCTTGTCTGTCTGTCTCATTGTCCATGCATCTCCGGAGTATCTAAGGCAATGTTTCTTTTGCGCATATGTTGCCTTTTATTCATCAACTTTGAAACTGAGTCTAGTTTCTTGACAAACTGAATTTGGAGTTTCTTGACAAACTGAGTTTGGATTTTCTTGACAAACTGAGTTTGGAGTTTCTTGACAAATGGATATCTTCATATCGACATTTACTTTAATTTTAGTTCACAGCATTTATTTGAAACGCATTTATCGATCTTTTGTAAGAATTAAAAATCCAAGATAGGAAATTGCCGAACGTTTCAAACAGCCTCGAAGTGCGTTTGTAACACCTGTAACTACAGGTAAACTATATTGTCGTGAAGTGCGTTTGTAGTACCTGTAACTACAGGTAAACTATATTGTCGTGAAGTGTGTTTGTAACACCTGTAACTACAGGTAAACTATATTGTCGTGAAGTGCGTTTGTAGTACCTGTAACTACAGGTAAACTATATTGTCGTGAAGTGCGTTTGTAGTACCTGTAACTACAGGTAAACTGTAATGTCGTGAAGTGCGTTTGTAGTACCTGTAACTACAGGTAAACTATATTGTCGTGAAGTGTGTTTGTAACACCTGTAACTACAGGTAAACTATATTGTCGTGAAGTGCATTTGTAGTACCTGTAACTACAGGTAAACTATATTGTCGTGAAGTGCGTTTGTAGTACATGTAACTACAGGTAAACTATATTGTCGTGAAGTGCGTTTGTAGCACCTGTAACTACAGGTAAACTGTAATGTCGTGAAGTGCGTTTGAAGCACCTGTAACTACAGGTAAACTATATTGTCGTGAAGTGCGTTTGAAGCACCTGTAACAAGTTAACTGTAATGTCGTGAAGTGCGTTTGAAGCACCTGTAACAAGTTAACTGTAGACTATATTGTCGTGAAGTGTGTTTGAAGCACCTGTAACAAGTTAACTGTAGACTATATTGTCGTGAAGTGCGTTTGAAGCACCTGTAACAAGTTAACTGTAATGTCGTGAAGTGCGTTTGCAGTACCTGTAACTACAGGTAAACTGTAATGTCGTGAAGTGCGTTTGTAGTACCTGTAACTACAGGTAAACTATATTGTCGTGAAGTGCGTTTGTAGCACCTGTAACTACAGGTAAACTGTAATGTCGTGAAGTGCGTTTGAAGCACCTGTAACTACAGGTAAACTATATTGTCGTGAAGTGTGTTTGTAACACCTGTAACTACAGGTAAACTATATTGTCGTGAAGTGCGTTTGTAGTACCTGTAACTGCAGGTAAACTGTAATGTCGTGAAGTGCGTTTGTAGTACCTGTAACTACAGGTAAACTATATTGTCGTGAAGTGTGTTTGTAGTACCTGTAACTACAGATAAACTATATTGTCGTGAAGTGTGTTTGAAACACCTGTAACTACAGGTAAACTATATTGTGCGTTTGAAGCACCTGTAACAAGTTAACTGTAATGTCGTGAAGTGCGTTTGTAACACCTGTAACAAGTTAACTGTATTGTCGTGAAGTGCGTTTGAAGCACCTGTAACAAGTTAACTGTAATGTCGTGAAGTGCGTTTGAAGCACCTGTAACAAGTTAACTGTAATGTCGTGAAGTGCGTTTGTAACACCTGTAACAAGTTCAATGTATTGTCGTGAAGTGCGTTTGAAGCACCTGTAAAAAAAAAGTTAACTGTAGACTATATTGTCGTGAAGTGCGTTTGAAGCACCTGTAACAAGTTAACTGTAGACTATATTGGCGTGAAGTGCGTTTGAAGCACCTGTAACAAGTTAACTGTAATGTCGTGAAGTGCGTTTGAAGCACCTGTAACAAGTTAACTGTAATGTCGTGAAGTGCGTTTGAAGCACCTGTAACAAGTTAACTGTAGACTATATTGTCGTGAAGTGCGTTTGAAGCACCTGTAACAAGTTAACTGTAGACTATATTGTCGTGAAGTGCGTAGACTATATCACAGATAGTATTTGACGTTACTACAGTAAATATTTACGTTTTTTTCAGTGGGAAGAGAACATGGAGGAATCAATAGTTGCGAAGCTAGCGGATAGATATGATGGCATTCTCAACAGCGACGATTTTTTCACCTACCATTTCAACAACTTTCAATGATGGCATTCTCAACTAAGTCTTTATATATCCAGCAGTGTATTGTACTAAGTCTTTTCTCTTCTAAGTCTTTATATATCCAGTGTATTGTACTAAGTCTTTATATATCCAGTTCTCTATTGTACTAAGTCTTTATATCAGTTTATATATATATCCAGTGTATTGTACTAAGTCTTTATATATCCATTGTATTGTACTAAGTCTTTATATGTCCAGTGTATTGTACTAAGTCTTTATATATCCAGTGTATTGTACTAAGTCTATATATATATCCAGTCTTTATATATCCAGTGTATTGTACTAAGTCTTTATGTATCCAGTGTATTGTACTAAGTCTTTATATATCCAGTGTATTGTACTAAGTCTTTATATATCCAGTGTATTGTACTAAGTCTTTATATTTATATATCCAGTGTATTGTACTAAGTCTTTATATATCCAGTGTATTGTACTAAGTCTTTATATATCCAGTGTATTGTACTAAGTCTTTAGGTGTCCAGTGTATTGTACTAAGTCTTTATATATCCAGTATATTGTACTAAGTCTTTATATATCCAGTGTATTGTACTAAGTCTTTATATATCCAGTATATTGTACTAAGTCTTTATATATCCAGTGTATTGTACTAAGTCTTTATATATATATGTCCAGTGTATTGTACTAAGTGTATTGTACTAAGTCTTTATATATCCAGTAAGTCTTTATATATCCAGTGTATTGTACTAAGTCTTTATATATCCCAGTATTTATATATCCAGTGTATTGTACTAAGTCTTTATATATCCAGTGTATTGTACTAAGTCTTTATATATCCAGTGTATTGTACTAAGTCTTTATATATCCAGTGTATTGTACTAAGTCTTTATATATCCAGTGTATTGTACTAAGTCTTTATATATCCAGTGTATTGTACTAAGTCTTTATATATCCAGTGTATTGTACTAAGTCTTTAGGTGTCCAGTGTATTGTACTAAGTCTTTAGGTGTCCAGTGTATTGTACTAAGTCTTTAGGTGTCCAGTGTATTGTACTAAGTCTTTATATATCCAGTGTATTGTACTAAGTCTTTATATATCCAGTGTATTGTACTTAGTCTTTATATATCCAGTGTATTGTACTAAGTCTTTATATATCCAGTGTATTGTACTAAGTCTTTAGGTGTCCAGTGTATTGTACTAAGTCTTTATATATCCAGTGTATTGTACTAAGTCTTTATATATCCAGTGTATTGTACTAAGTCTAAGTCTTTATATATCCAGTGTATTGTACTAAGTCTTTATATATCCAGTGTATTGTACTAAGTCTTTATATATCCAGTGTATTGTACTCAGTCTTTATATATCCAGTGTATTGTATTAAGTCTTTATATGTCCAGTGTATTGTACTAAGTCTTTATATGTCCAGTGTATTGTACTAAGTCTTTATATATCCAGTATATTGTACTACGTCTTTATATATCCAGTGTATTGTTCTAAGTCTTTAGGTGTCCAGTGTATTGTACTAAGTCTTTAGGTGTCCAGTGTATTGTACTAAGTCTTTATATATCCAGTATATTGTACTAAGTCTTTATATATCCAGTGTATTGTACTAAGTCTTTATATATCCAGTGTATTGTACTAAGTCTTTATATATCCAGTGTATTGTACTAAGTCTTTATATATCCAGTGTATTGTACTCAGTCTTTATATATCCAGTGTATTGTACTAAGTCTTTATATATCCAGTGTATTGTACTAAGTCTTTATATATCCAGTGTATTGTACTAAGTCTTTATATATCCAGTGTATTGTACTCAGTCTTTATATATCCAGTGTATTGTACTAAGTCTTTATATGTCCAGTGTATTGTACTAAGTCTTTAGGTGTCCAGTGTATTGTACTAAGTCTTTATATATCCAGTATATTGTACTAAGTCTTTAGGTGTCCAGTGTATTGTATAAAGTCTTTATATATCCAGTGTATTGTTCTAAGTCTTTAGGTGTCCAGTGTATTGTACTAAGTCTTTATATATCCAGTGTATTGTACTAAGTCTTTATATATCCAGTGTATTGTACTAAGTCTTTATATATCCAGTGTATTGTACTAAGTCTTTATATATCCAGTGTATTGTACTAAGTCTTTATATATCCAGTGTATTGTACTAAGTCTTTATATATCCAGTGTATTGTACTAAGTCTTTATATATCCAGTGTATTGTACTAAGTCTTTATATATCTAGTGTATTGTACTAAGTCTTTAGGTGTCCAGTGTATTGTACTAAGTCTTTATATATCCAGTGTATTGTACTAAGTCTTTATATATCCAGTGTATTGTACTAAGTCTTTATATATCCAGTGTATTGTACTAAGTCTTTATATATCCAGTGTATTGTACTAAGTCTTTATATATATCCAGTGTATTGTACTAGTCTTTATATATCCAGTGTATTGTACTAAGTCTTTATATGTCCAGTGTATTGTACTAAGTCTTTAGGTGTCCAGTGTATTGTACTAAGTCTTTATATATCCAGTGTATTGTACTAAGTCTTTATATATCCAGTGTATTGTACTAAGTCTTTATATATCCAGTGTATTGTACTTAGTCTTTATATATCCAGTGTATTGTACTAAGTCTTTATATATCCAGTGTATTGTACTAAGTCTTTATATATCCAGTGTATTGTACTAAGTCTTTATATATCCAGTATATTGTACTAAGTCTTTATATATCCAGTGTATTGTACTAAGTCTTTATATGTCCAGTGTATTGTACTAAGTCTTTATTTGTCCAGTGTATTGTACTAAGTCTTTAGGTGTCCAGTGTATTGTACTAAGTCTTTATATATCCAGTGTATTGTACTAAGTCTTTATATATCCAGTGTATTGTACTAAGTCTTTATATATCCAGTGTATTGTACTAAGTCTTTAGGTGTCCAGTGTATTGTACTACGTCTTTATATATCCAGTGTATTGTACTAAGTCTTTAGGTGTCCAGTATATTGTACTAAGGAGAAATCTGTACCAGTCTTTATATTGTACTAAGTCTTTATTTTTCCAGTGTATTGTACTAAGTCTTTATATATCCAGTGTATTGTACTAAGTCTTTAGGTGTCCAGTGTATTGTACTAAGTCTTTAGGTGTCCAGTGTATTGTACTAAGTCTTTATATATCCAGTATATTGTACTAAGTCTTTATATATCCAGTGTATTGTACTAAGTCTTTAGGTGTCCAGTGTATTGTACTAAGTCTTTATATATCCAGTGTATTGTACTAAGTCTTTATATATCCAGTGTATTGTACTAAGTCTTTATATATCCAGTATGTTGTACTAAGTCTTTATATATCCAGTATATTGTACTAAGTCTTTATATATCCAGTGTATTGTACTAAGTCTTTATATATCCAGTATATTGTACTACGTCTTTATATATCCAGTGTATTGTACTAAGTCTTTAGGTGTCCAGTGTATTGTACTAAGTCTTTATATATCCAGTGTATTGTACTAAGTCTTTATATGTCCAGTGTATTGTACTAAGTCTTTATATGTCCAGTGTATTGTACTAAGTCTTTAGGTGTCCAGTGTATTGTACTAAGTCTTTATATATCCAGTGTATTGTACTAAGTCTTTATATATCCAGTGTATTGTACTAAGTCTTTATATATCCAGTGTATTGTACTAAGTCCAGTGTATTGTACTAAGTCTTTATATATTATATGTCCAGTGTATTGTACTAGTCTTTATATATCCAGTGTATTGTACTAAGTCTTTATATATCCAGTGTATTGTACTAAGTCTTTATATATATCCAGTGTATTGTACTAGTCTTTATAGTCTTTATATATCCAGTGTATTGTACTAAGTCTTTATATATCCAGTGTATTGTACTAAGTCTTTATATATCCAGTGTATTGTACTAAGTCTTTATATATCCAGTGTATTGTACTAAGTCTTTAGGTGTCCAGTGTATTGTACTAAGTCTTTAGGTGTCCAGTGTATTGTACTAAGTCTTTATATATCCAGTATATTGTACTAAGTCTTTATATATCCAGTGTATTGTACTAAGTCTTTATATATCCAGTGTATTGTACTAAGTCTTTATATATCCAGTGTATTGTACTAAGTCTTTATATATCCAGTGTATTGTACTAAGTCTTTATATATCCAGTATGTTGTACTAAGTCTTTATATATCCAGTATATTGTACTAAGTCTTTATATATCCAGTATGTTGTACTAAGTCTTTATATATCCAGTGTATTGTACTAAGTCTTTAGGTGTCCAGTGTATTGTACTAAGTCTTTATATATCCAGTGTATTGTACTAAGTCTTTATAGTACACTGTATTGTAATAAGTCTTTATATATCCAGTGTATTGTACTAAGTCTTTATATGTCCAGTGTATTGTACTAAGTCTATTATATATCCAGTGTATTGTACTAAGTCTTTATATTGTACTAAGTCTTTATATATCCAGTGTATTGTACTAAGTCTTTATATGTCCAGTGTATTGTACTAAGTCTTTATATGTCCAGTGTATTGTACTAAGTCTTTATATGTCCAGTGTATTGTACTAAGTCTTTAGGTGTCCAGTATATTGTACTAAGTCTTTAGGTGTCCAGTGTATTGTACTAAGTCTTTATATATCCAGTATATTGTACTAAGTCTTTATATATCCAGTGTATTGTACTAAGTCTTTATATATCCAGTATATTGTACTAAGTCTTTAGGTGTCCAGTGTATTGTACTAAGTCTTTATATATCCAGTATATTGTACTAAGTCTTTAGGTGTCCAGTGTATTGGAAAGAATGCATTCTAATTAAATGTTGTAGGGTCCTAAGTCTTTATATATCCAGTGTATTGTACTAAACCGAAAAACACGTGTTTACCAATGCGAAAACAGTTATCCTGTGGGAACCTCTTGTTGACAAATTCAGAAAATTCGTTTCGAATGTGTTAAATTTATTGTGTCATAGTTTTCAGTGTATTGTATAAGTTTTTATTTACAGGTCAGCTCACCAATAATTTTGTAGACGGTAACACGATTATAATGAGATAACCCTGGATGTTCACTAACCGAAACAGGGCGGTATCAGTAACCATCAAGTGTGTTTATGGTTTTCCTTCATCTTCTGTTACATATATCTGTGAAATAAATTGAAAGTTTTATAAATAACCTTCTTTGTACTCAGTAGTGTAATTTCGATAACTATGACTGAAAGTGACGGAGGAGAAGTCCTAACTTATCGTTAGGATTATAACGACTTGTCTTGGGAATTTCAATATTCTGACAATTATAAAGTCATTTAGTTCATTCTAGGTACATCAGAAAAAAAATCAACATTTCATTGATGCTGCTATTCTTATCCCGGTAATACATTGTGTCTATCTTAAATATCCCCGGGTGATACATTGTGTCTATCTTTAATATCCCCGGTAATACATTGTGTCTATCTTTAATATCCCCGGTAATACATTGTGTCTATCTATCATATCCCCGGTAATACATTGTGTCTATCTTTAATATCCCCGGTAATACATTGTGTCTATCTTTAATATCCCCGGTAATACATTGTGTCTATCTATCATATCCCCGGTAATACATTGTGTCTATCTTTAATATCCCCGGTAATACATTGTGTCTATCTTTAATATCCCCGGTAATACATTGTGTCTATCTTTAATATCCCCGGTAATACATTGTGTCTATCTATCATATCCCCGGTAATACATTGTGTCTATCTTTAATATCCCCGGTAATACATTGTGTCTATCTTTAATATCCCCGGTAATACATTGTGTTTATCTTTAATATCCCCGGTAATACATTGTGTCTATCTATCATATCCCCGGTAATACATTGTGTCTATCTTTAATATCCCCGGTAATACATTGTGTCTATCTTTAATATCCCCGGTAATACATTGTGTCTATCTTTTAATATCCCCGGTAATACATTGTGTCTATCTATCATATCCCCGGTAATACATTGTGTCTATCTTTAATATCCCCGGTAATACATTGTGTCTATCTTTAATATCCCCGGTAATACATTGTGTCTATTTTAAATATCCCCGGGTAATACATTGTGTCTATCTTTGATATCCCCGGTAATACATTGAGTCTATCTTTAATATCCCCGGTAATACATTGGTAATAGATTGTATCTATCTTTAATATCCCCGGTAATACATTGTGTCTATCTTTAATATCCCCGGTAATACATTGTGTCTATCTTTAATATCCCCGGTAATACATTGTGTCTATCTTTAATATCCCCGGTAATACATTGTGTCTATCTTTAATATCACCGGGTAATACATTGTGTCTATCTTTAATATCCCCGGTAATACATTGGTAATACATTGTATCTATCTTTAATATCCCCGGTAATACATTGTGTCTATCTTTAATATCCCCGGTAATACATTGTGTCTATCTTTAATATCCCCGGTAATACATTGTGTCTATCTTTTAATATCCCCGGTAATACATTGGTAATAGATTGTGTCTATCTTTGATATCCCCGGTAATACATTGTGTCTATCTTTAATATCCCCGGTAATACATTGTGTCTATCTTTAATATCCCCGGTAATACATTGTGTCTATCTTTGATATCCCCGGTAATACAGTGTGTCTATCTTTAGTATCCCCGGTAATACATTGTGTCTATCTTTTAATATCCCCGGTAATACATTGGTAATAGATTGTGTCTATCTTTGATATCCCCGGTAATACATTGTGTCTATCTTTAATATCCCCGGTAATACATTGTGTCTATCTTTGATATCCCCGGTAATACATTGTGTCTATCTTTAGTATCCCCGGTAATACATTGTGTCTATCTTTAATATCCCCGGTTATACATTGTGTTATTATTATCATAAATATTGCAATATAGATATTACGCCTTGGTTTAGATTCTAACCTATTGTCTTTATGTACATGGAATGTTGTGAAATAGTAAATGTCCTGTGTAGATTCTATTTTGTGTTTGTTTGATGTAGATGGAATGTTGTGGATTTTACGACTATAAAGATTTCGTAACAAATTCAACAAAATGGAACCGGACAATAGACTCGTCTGTTGCCATGGTGATCCCTCCCGCCTGCTGTAAACCTTCATCGACTAATGATACATCAACCCTACAGAACTGTGTGTACGATCCTACACCGGACAACGCTTATCTCACGGTAACGTAAATGTTTTCTTGACTACAAGAGAAACTTTTAACAGGCGATTTACTCCATACTTATTTTTAAAGTCCAGATTTCGATAACGAAATGACGTTTTGGTATAGATTGGAAACTAGCCGAAAATCCTGAACAAAATCAAAATTATTTCGTGCATATGCACACTCTCCACCACAGAGATGTAAAAAGGTCAGTTAATATAAAAACGAAAAGAAAATGTGTAAATGAGAAATATAACGACATAACTTCTCTAATGATTGCTAGTATTCGTTTCGTACAGTTGATTCATTTGTGTTTTGTATGAACTGAAACCGCCATATTTATAAGTGAACACAGCCATAGACTGCGGCTGTGTGATACATGAATACTTACATTCAATATCATAGTGTTTTGTGGATTTAAATAGGATTATTGATTCTGCCAGTACACATAGTTGTCATAAAGTTTGAAGTCGTCAACAGAGACGAAATGAAATATTTCATTCCGCTCTGATTTGAGGGTGGAACGAGCATCAAGCTTGGGAAGAGAAGTCGTTGTCGACAAAATAGCATCATATGTTAAATCTGCCGAGCAGCGACCTCTTATAATACAGAACCTTATAGTTATCGTTCTTTACAATCGCTAAGGAACGATAACTCTTGGTAGCGACTGAGTATGAAATAATGATATACAACACAAATTATCAATAAAAATTCACCATACTTCATCCTACTTTACGACTCCGTAATGTAAGAAATCATTCAGATTTACAAAAAAAATCATCCATTTTATAAGCAAAAAATAAGATTTAAATTAGCCTGAAGATAACAAACTGCACGTTTTTGTGATGTTTTAGTGGGTGTACCAGCGATTAGATATCTATGGTACTAGCCATCTAACATGAAAACGCTTGATACAACAAGATTGAAACACGTGACTGCAAGTGTAGCAAGTGTCCTGATCATATGGGTATTCATTGTTAAAACTAATAAACAAAATATAGCCAACGCACCTCCCCGTCCGGATTTTGACAATTTTCTTTAGATATAATTTCTATTTTCCTCAATAGCTTCTTTGATTTGATTTCAAACTTCATTTTTTAGCATCACTGATGCGTTCTAGAAGGACAAAGTTGTGTGATGCATTATCACTGACGCGTCCTAGGACAACAAAGCTGTGAGATGCATCATCACTGACGCGTCCTAGGACGACAAAGCTGTGTGATGCATTATCACTGACGCGTCCTAGGACGACAAAGCTGTGTGATGCATCATCACTGACGCGTCCTAGGACAACAAAACTGTGTGATGTATCATCAAATACGCGTCCTAGGACGACAAAACTGTAAGATGCATCATCACTGACGCGTCCTAGGACGACAAAACTGTAAGATGCATCATCACTGACGCGTCCTAGGACGACAAAACTGTGTGATGCATCATCACTGACGCGTCCTAGGACAACAAAGCTGTGTGATGCATTATCACTGACGCGTCCTAGGACAACAAAGCTGTGTGGTGCATTATCACTGACGCGTCCTAGGACGACAAAGTTGTGTGATGCATTATCACTGACGCGTCCTAGGACAACAAAGCTGTGTGATGCATTATCACTGACGTGTATTAAGACAACAAAGCTGTGTGGTGCATTATCACTGACGTGTATTAAGACAACAAAGTTGTGTGATGCATTATCACTGACCCGTCCTAGGACGACAAAGTTGTGTGATGCATTATCACTGACGTGTATTAAGACAACAAAGCTGTGTGGTGCATTATCACTGACGCGTCCTAGGACGACAAAGTTGTGTGGTGCATTATCACTGACGCGTCCTAGGACGACAAAGTTGTGTGATGCATTATCACTGACGCGTCCTAGGACGACAAAGCTGTGTGATGTATCATCACTGACGCGTCCTAGGACGACAAAGCTGTGTGATGTATCATCACTGACGCGTCCTAGGACGACAAAGCTGTGTGATGTATCATCACTGACGCGTCCTAGGACAACAAAGCTGTGTGATGTATCATCACTGACGCGTCCTAGGACAACAAAGCTGTGTGATGTATCATCACTGACGCGTCCTAGGACGACAAAACTGTGAGATGCAGTTGAATTCATTGCAATCATGTATATGATTTAATTTGATATCGAAGTTGCTTTCCACTTTTGTTTTTCTTAGACGATACCTATTTTATTTCTTGAAACTTTTTTCCGTTTTGAAATCAAAAATAATTTATCAATGTCAGTAATACAAGTAGATAGGAATTTATTAGAGACAGAAAAAAAGACAACATAAAAAAGACAAAAAAAGATAAAAAAAAAAGACAATAAAGATAAAAAAAAGACAATAAAGATAAAAAAAAAACAACAACAAAAACAAAAAATGTATCATTAGCTATTAGAAAATGTACAGAATGAGAATGTATATAATTATTTAACTGCAAAGCAGTTCATGTTGAATTTATCTCAAGACCAACTCAATTCATCATCCCATGAAATCGACATAAGTAAGATTCAATCCTTATATTTCAATTCACGCTTCTTTTTTCTATAGCATTGGAACTGACGCTGAACTACTTTCGTTCCTTGTCATCATATCGTCTGACGTCATACAAGCAAATAGTCTGTCATTTGAAGACAGATTATTGTGACAGGTTGAAATATAATTCAGCATGGTTACTTAATATTCAATGAAACATAAATAAGAACAAAATTTGATATATTTTTTGACAACTTTAATGAAAATTTAAATAACAGTGTGCAACAAAGACAGTATGCATTTTTCCCCGTGGAGGAATAACGTCTAGACGTGGTGCGCCGGTTCGCAAACGAAGCGGTGTCGGCCATTTTTTTTACAGGCACCGAAGCGGAGAGCAAGCAATATTATTCTTCAGCCGCTTCACATCAATTGAAACGTAAAGTTACAGTTATTAAATGTTGAATTTAATTTTTATTTTGATGTTTTTAAATCTCATACTTGTGATATGTTGCCAGTCTAGTCATTACCTAATATTTGTATTCATACGCCTTGGCAACGTTAATCTGGTCAAATCCATCGGTAATTGAAACAGATCACATTTAGTAGTTTCATTGAGTCCGATTTAGGTAGAAATTGAAATATTTAATGATAAATCCTTATTCTTGGACTTTTACTAACAATGAAGCATTTTCTAATATACGAAAGCCGGTTTGGGCTGATTTAGGAAAGTGAGCCCAACCGGAATTTGTACTTAAAATATGGTGTAAGAATACGAATCCACGAAATACATAGCATAGTAACAAACCGAAATACATAGCATAGTAACAAACCGAAATACATAGCATAGTAACAAACCGAAATACATAGCACAGTAACAAACCGAAATACATAGCATAGTAACAAACCGAAATACATAGCACGTTAAAAAACCGAAATACATAGCATAGTAACAAACCGAAATACATAGCACAGTAACAAACCGAAATACATAGCACAGTAACAAACCGAAATACATAGCACGTTAAAAAACCGAAATACAAAGCATAGTAACAAACCGAAATACATAGCATAGTAACAAACCGAAATACATAGCATAGTAACAAACCGAAATACATAGCATAGTAACAAACCGAAATACATAGCACAGTAACAAACCGAAATACATAGCACGTTAAAAAACCGAAATACATAGCATAGTAACAAACCGAAATACATAGCATAGTAACAAACCGAAATACATAGCACAGTAACAAACCGAAATACATAGCACAGTAACAAACCGAAATACATAGCATAGTAACAAACCGAAATACATAGCACGTTAAAAAACCGAAATACATAGCATAGTAACAAACCGAAATACATAGCATAGTAACAAACCGAAATACATAGCACAGTAACAAACCGAAATACATAGCACGTTAAAAAACCGAAATACATAGCATAGTAACAAACCGAAATACATAACATAGTAACAAACCGAAATACATAGCACAGTAACAAACCGAAATACATAGCACAGTAACAAACCGAAATACATAGCACGTTAAAAAACCGAAATACAAAGCATAGTAACAAACCGAAATACATAGCACGTTAAAAAACCGAAATACATAGCATAGTAACAAACCGAAATACAAAGCATAGTAACAAACCGAAATACATAGCATAGTAACAGACCGAAATATATAGCATAGTAACAAACCAAAATACATAGCACAGTAACAAACCGAAATACATAGCACGTTAAAAAACCGAAATACATAGCATAGTAACAAACCGAAATACATAGCATAGTAACAAACCGAAATACATAGCATAGTAACAAACCGAAAAACATAGCACAGTAACAAACCGAAATACATAGCACGTTAAAAAACCGAAATACAAAGCATAGTAACAAACCGAAATACATAGCATAGTAACAAACCGAAATACATAGCATAGTAACAAACCGAAATACATAGCATAGTAACAAACCGAAATACATAGCACAGTAACAAACCGAAATACATAGCACGTTAAAAAACCGAAATACATAACATAGTAACAAACCGAAATACATAGCATAGTAACAAACCGAAATACATAGCACAGTAACAAACCGAAATACATAGCACAGTAACAAACCGAAATACATAGCACAGTAACAAACCGAAATACATAGCACAGTAACAAACCGAAATACATAGCATAGTAACAAACCGAAATACATAGCACGTTAAAAAACCGAAATACATAGCATAGTAACAAACCGAAATACAGAGCATAGTAACAAACCGAAATACATAGCACAGTAACAAACCGAAATACATAGCACGTTAAAAAACCGAAATACAAAGCATAGTAACAAACCGAAATACATAGCATAGTAACAAACCGAAATACATAACATAGTAACAAACCGAAATACATAGCACAGTAACAAACCGAAATACATAGCATAGTAACAAACCGAAATACATAGCACAGTAACAAACCGAAATACATAGCACGTTAAAAAACCGAAATACAAAGCATAGTAACAAACCGAAATACATAGCATAGTAACAAACCGAAATACATAGCACGTTGAAAAACCGAAATACAAAGCATAGTAACAAACCGAAATACATAGCATAGTAACAAACCGAAATACATAGCATGTTAAAAAACCGAAATACATAGCATAGTAACAAACCGAAATACATAGCATGTTAAAAAACCGAAATACATAGCATGTTAAAAAACCGAAATACATAGCACAGTAACAAACCGAAATACATAGCATAGTAACAAACCGAAATACATAGCATAGTAACAAACCGAAATACATAGCATAGTAACAAACCGAAATACATAGCATAGTAACAAACCGAAATACATAGCATGTTAAAAAACCAAAATACATAGCATAGTAACAAACCGAAATACATAGCATGTTAAAAAACCGAAATACATAGCATAGTAACAAACCGACATACATAGCACAGTACCAAACCGAAATACAGAGCATAGTAACAAACCGAAATACATAGTATAGTAACAAACCGAAATACATAGCACAGTAACAAACCGAAATACATAGCATATTAAAACATAAACGAAAAAAAAAAAACAGTAAACAAAATATAGTTTGCGTCAGTGCTTGGCAAACAGTCCGAAAATTGTACATAAGACACGCCAAGGAATAACAGCTCTTAATTACCCCTAGACTTCAAAACTGCGTCATACAGTTGTTTCGTCCTTTCAGGCCTAGGGACATGTTATACAGACATACATGTTATAGTCTAGGAGGCGATCAAAAAAATTTCAACATGATTTGAAAAAAAAAGTAAAAATTTAAATGGAGAGTTGCATTAACCCTACTTTTCAATGAATTCTGCAATTTTCATGTCTGTTTATTTCAGAACGACATAAAGTTCAAGTGTTTCTTCATAAATATACTCAACAAAAAATGAAAGGTTAACATGTTTCCTTGGCGAATACCTGTAAATGAGTGAAAAGAAAATGACGTTTGTGCAATATAAGAAAATGGTAATGTTTTTACATTACAAAATTCAAGGGGGGTTACCAAAATCATTCAAGCGTGAAAGTCTGTATTAGCGAAAGAGCTGCACTAGGTTTTCTGCGACTAACTTGTATCTTCGCTTGTCATAAACATTCAAACTGACAATTGTTCCTTAGATCCTTAGGACTTAGAAATCACCGAATCTTGCTATCTATCAACTTTATCATTATGCCCCGGCTGTCACAAGTTCAGAGACAATGGGCTGTAGGCATGATCCAGGCTGAGGCGTCTCGCCGTCGAGTTGCACGGCATTTTGGTTGCAGTGTTAAGACAATTCGCCAGTTGGTAAGTCGTTTAAACCAAACTGGGTCAACATCCGATCGTCCCCGAAGCGGCCGACCCCGTAAAACGACCGCCAGGGATGATCGTCGTATACGATTGATACACTTGCGCAATCGATTCGTAACCGCAGTAGAGACTACAAGGACATTGTTTGGGCGTCGTGTGTCTTCCCAAACAGTCCGCAACAGGTTGAGGGCCTACCAATTGAAAGCGCGGCGTCCCTACACTGGACCCAATTTGTTGCGACGTCACCGTAATGATCGGCGTGACTGGACCCGTGTTCACCGTCGTTGGGCCTTACGACAATGTAACAATGCTCTGTTTTCATATGAGTCCAGGTTTTGTCTGCAACACGGTGACAGAAGGCGCAGAGTGTGGAGGCGACGAGGGGAGGCGTTTTGCGAACTGCTGCGTCGCAGAACGGGACCGCTTTGGCGGCGGAAGTGTAATGGTTTGGGGTGGTATTTGTGGGGGGACTCTTACCAGGCTTGTTGTGTTAAATGGCAATTTAACCGGCATTCGATATCGGGACGAAATTTTAAGACCATTGGTTCTGCCATTCTTAAGACGCCATGGCGTTGGCGCCATTTTTCAACAGGATAACGCACCAGCGCACACCAGTCGCGTCAGCAGAACTTTCTTGCAGCAGAATAACGTACAGGTGTTAGATTGGCCATCTAAATCACCTGATTTGTCACCGATTGAGCATGTCTGGGACGTTCTTGGGCGAAGCGCGAGAGAACATCAAAATCAGCTGTCAAACTTGCAGGAGCTGGCCCAAGCCTTGACCACTGAATGGAACAACATCTCTCCTCGAATTATCCGCCGGTTTACGAGTTCCATGCGACGACGCTGCAATGCTGTTTACTTCGCAAACGGTGGCCTACCCGTTACTAATGGTGTTACCTTTGAAATTGACCCCAACGTCCTTTACAGTCGAATAAAATCAACTGAACGCAAATTTTTATAATGAACCATGACTGCAGTTTTATCAGAATTGATCAATTACTTTATTCGTACATGATTGGTAAGGATTTATGAAGGGGTTAATTAATTAATCACAGAATGAAGTAGTGTTACCTTTCTTTTTTTGTTTAGTATATTTACGAAAACCTCTAAAACCTGTGATTCTGTGGAACTGTTGTGGTCATGTGTTGTCTCCTTTTTTCAGGGCTGTCAGAATGCTATTGAAGACTTATTTTATCGCTATGAGTGTGTTATCATAGGTGTAGCAGCTGCTATTGTGTTTTGTCAGGTAAGTCACGTGATCACAGGTTTAGTATCAAATCGATTTAACATAAGTCGAAGGTCAAAAATATTTTACTAGTAACTTTGGTGATACATAAAATTACATGTAGTTTACACGGATTGGCTAATGTGTACAAGAAGCTTACTCTTCCGAAACACCCTGGTATTAATCTCCTCGTATCTTTTCAGGGGTCTTTGTATTATTCTTTCTTATTTTGTTCATATGTTGTACTAGCTTTATTGAATTTGAGTTTGGTTTATTTTAATACAGACATATTAGTATTTTTTGTTGTTTTTGTTCATAAAATGTAATTTTATATTTCAAATGCAATATTGAAAAAATATCGTTTTTCTTTCAGCTCTTGATGATGATTCTGACACTCGTGATGCTATGTACCAAGGTAGACAACTCGTACACATTTAAGGACGGCAAACAGATATGATCGACTCCTCCACGATAACCACATATATAGACTAAAACACACAGTCGAACCTCGTTATCTCGAACTCGACGGGACCATGGGGAATCTTCGAGATAAGCGAGTATTCGGTTTAAATGAGGTCGAATGTTGCGTGTGAAATTGAGCAGGAACCGACGAAATGCTTCGAATTAAACGATGTTGTCGAGTTATAGGAGTTCTACATAATGAGGTTCGACTGTATATATAACTAGGATATACTGTGCCCAGGGGCATGTTCATCGCAGTTCACTTCTGATCTTTTTAGCCATTTGTAAATAAGGCGAACATTAAAAGTGGGCTGCAAATGGATGTTTAAGCAAGCAGTAATTTTTTGAAGAAGGGCGGTGGGGGATATTTTAGAATGCATCTAGCATAGAGCAAAAATGAAAACGTTAAAGCAATGAACGTTTTCTTGTATAAAACGAACGTTTTCAGGCGACAACAAGAGCAACCCCAGGAGAATGTATCTCCTTATACTGGAAAAGTAATTACATATATTAAAACTTTCTCTCCTTGCGTGCAGAAATATTTCAGAAGATTGCTTTTCAATTACTTTTGTAACTTATTTTGAACACCACAATTTCCAATATTCAATGCAAATGTTACCAAGGCTAATTGTACCGATCGAAAACAACAGAATATTTTAAGTCCATGATTTCTTGCTCCACGCCTTAGGGCGTTGTTGAATTGTCAGATCGGTCACGTAGTCACAGTAGAGATCCATACAGGTATATGATAGAAGTAGTGTTTCTTTACAGATTGTGACAAACTAAACTTTTCTTTGTAACAATATTCTGATATATTTGATAAAGTCAGTTTTCGTGTATCAAAGTTAGTTTAAGTATTTCCTAAAGTCAATTTTCCTGCATCAAAGTTTGTTTAAGTATTTTAAAAAAGTTTTTTTCTTACGATCATCATTTGGTGAAGGAAGTATATATATATAAGTAAATGGGAGATTCTGTCGATCATATCACAAACATTCGTGAATATATAATCTAAACCGGAGACATCTCACCATATCGATCTTTCTCACGTGACAATTTCTATGACATGATGTCCCAGGCAATTTCTGTATTATTACACGATTGATGTGACAGATATTATCACACTGATAACAGGGTAGGTAGATGATGGGTGTTATCACACTGATAACAGGGTAGGTAGATGATGGGTGTTATCACACTGATAACAGGGTAGGTAGATGATGGGTGTTATCACACTGATAACAGGGTAGGTAGATGATGGATATTATCACACTGATAACAGGGTAGGTAGATGATGGGTGTTATCACACTGATGACAGGGTAGGTAGATGATGGGAGTTATCACACTGATAACAGGGTAGGTAGATGATGGGAGTTATCACACTGATAACAGGGTAGGTAGATGATGGGTGTTGTCACACTGATAACAGGGTAGGTAGATGATGGGAGTTATCACACTGATTACAGGGTATGTAGATGATGGGAGTTATCACACTGATGACAGGGTAGGTAGATAATGGGTGTTATCACACTGATAACAGGTTAGGTAGATGATGTGTGTTATCACACTGATAACAGGGTAGGTAGAAGATAGGTGTTATCACACTGATAACAGGGTAGGTAGATGATGTGTGTTATCTCACTGATAACAGGGTAGGTAGATGATTTGAGTTATCACACTGATAACAGGGTAGGTAGATGATGGATATTATCACACTGATAACAGGGTAGGTAGATGATCGGTGTTGTCACACTGATTACAGGGTAGGTAGATGATGTGTTATCACACTGATAACAGGTTAGGTAGATGATGTGAGTTGTCACACTGATAACAGGGTAGGTAGATGATGGGTGTTATCACACTGATAACAGGGTAGGTAGATGATGTGTGTTATCACACTGATAACAGGGTAGGTAGATGATGGGAGTTATCACACTGATAACAGGGTAGGTAGATGATGTGTGTTATCACACTGATAACAGGGTAGGTAGATGATGGGTGTTATTAAACTGATAACAGGGTAGGTAGATGATGTGTGTTATCACACTGATAACAGGGTAGGTAGATGATGGGAGTCATCACACTGATAACAGGGTAGGTAGATGATGAGTGTTATCTCACTGATAACAGGGTATGTAGATGATGTGAGTTATCACACTGATAACAGGGTAGGTAGATGATGTGTGTTATCACACTGATAACAGGGTAGGTAGATGATGGGAGTTATCACACTGATAACAGGGTATGTAGATGATGGGTGTTATTACACTGATAACAAAACAGTTATCTGATAAAGTTATATTAAAGCATTTAAGCATCTTGGTTTTAAGTGTAATATTTACAGTTAGTTTCAGTACAAATTGGTACCGTCTGATTGTATTGATAGGAAATCGATACGTTCTATCAACGTAACAAATCCCACATATATATGTCCGAAACTTAACTTTTATCTATCTTAAGTCACGCGATGTACACACAACAAAATCACTGCACGTCAATTGCTTGATGTATAGCTTTGGGAAAATGCGTTACTTTCCATTTAGAATATCCTTCATCACGGACTTACGCGTGGGTTGATTGCACGTGTAATAACATAACACAGCTGATAGTTCCTATGTTCATAGCGATTTGATATGTAAATTGTTATGAAAACATGAGTTTTTTCTTACCTTCCATTTATATACATCACCAATGAAAAAAATCTGCTTTTCTTACCTTATTAGTTCAGTCTGTCTGTTTTGGACCTATTCACTGAAAAATAAACAATACTGTTGGAAAATAATGTTGATGTATTTTTATTGTTGATTTGTTTAGCAAAAACGTCTTAATTAAACTGGAAAGATTAAGAGACGTGAAGCTTACTTATGTTGAGTCTTACAAACTGTGAAGTAGCTATCATATAAACTTGTTCACTCTAGATTTGCTGCTGTTAGGTTTATTGTCCTGTACAGATATTTTACGGTAAAATGTCCCTGTGGAATCTAGTGACTACTTCACTGAACAACATGCAAGAAGTCCGCCGCATGACGTCAAGAGCAATAAGGTTAAAGAACGATAGTTTTCTCAGCTTCCTGAGGAATCCAAGACATCGAAATAATCAAATTGAGGACGACGAGGTACACTCGCTCCATAATTCAATAACTTTCGTAATTTACCGATGATCTTACTATCACATCAGGTACATGTGATAAATACAGCCCTTATATTCCACCTCTACAAACCTTTCAAACCAACGATCTCTAAAATATCGGGAGGGATATATCAAATACACCAACGTGTGTCTCTTTGTGGACATTTATAACGTTTTAGCAGAAAAAACTTTTTTATAAGAAGAACTCCATTCTCGCTGAATATCAACCTTATTCCACATCTCCAATATTTACAAAGGAATGTTTATAAAGAAAAAGACAAATTGTGACATCAAAAATCCATTTTATTATAATGACAATATTTTACGCGGTCAGCCTTGTTCAGATGAAATACAGAATACAAAATTATCACACCAACGATATATTGTGAGTGGAACATTAAATAAGTCGAACCTCGTTATCTCGAACTCAAAAATGTCGTTTAATTCGAAGCATTTAGTCGGACCTTGCCTTACTTTACACAAAACATTCAAATTACTTAAAACGAAAACTCGGTTTTCTCGAAGTTTTTCCTATGACCCCGCCGAGTTCCAGATAACGAGGTTCGACTGTATACTAATGTCAACCATACGAATAAAACAAATCTAACTCCCTCATGGGGTAAACAGGAGTAACTGGTAAAACCGTTTTTCACTTGAAGACGTGGACATCATTTTCTGCCACGACCACTGCTTACAATTCCACCCTTAAGGCATCAATTAACCAGTAAAACTGTTGTATCAACATTTTAACCTCATATTGTATAAACTGTAAACGCGTTTTGATGAACTTTGACCTGAATGGCGCTTCAAACACTAGCCCAACAAGTAGTTAACAATTGCTGTTGTAATAATTTGAATTTTTGGTAAGTGTCTTTATCAATTTATTGTTTTGAAGATAATAAACCCGCTAATTCGCTTGTTATGAGTAAAAAAATCTACATATTTCTGAAATTGTCAGTTATTAGAATACTTGGAACAGAACAGGTGGTTCGGACGTTCGGACGTTCGGACGTTCGAAGTAGGTGGTTTATTGTACCAGAAACAGGTCACACAACCTCGAATGTTGTGAATGGAATCATATCCACTATTGTTAGTTTTTTAGCTAGGTACAAAAATATTCGCTTTTGCAACCTTTGAAAAATGGCTAACTCGAGTGAAAGAAATATACACAACAACTGCTTGTTGTGTGATATTGATTTATCACACACGTCAATTGAAAATCTAACCTTACCAAAGATTAAATAAAGATAAGTAAAGAAAGGACTCAGTTCAATGGCCCAATCCTTCCTGCATATCAAGAAGAAAATAACGTTGTTTGGATTCCACTTAATGGTGTCCAGTGTAGGAACTACACTCGGTTTAATTTGCTCCTGAATGTTTTTTTAAATGTTTAATTTAATGGATCAATGTGCATCAAGTTGTGTTAATTTGCTCATAAGATAAACATTGATAAACTAAGATAAACATTGATAAACTAAGATAAACATTGATAAACTAAGATAAACATTGATAAAATAAGATAAACATTGATCAACTAAGATAAACATTGATAAAATAAGATAAACATTGATAAACTAAGATAAACATTGATCAACTAAGATAAACATTGATCAACTAAGATAAACATTGATAAAATAAGATAAACATTGATGAAATAAAATAAACATTGATCAAATAAGATAAACATTGATCAACTAAGATAAACATTGATAAACTAAGATAAACATTGATCAAATAAGATAAACATTGATCAACTAAGATAAACATTGATAAAATAAGATAAACATTGATAAAATAAGATAAACATTGATCAACTAAGATAAACATTGATCAACTAAGATAAACATTGATCAAATAAGATAAACATTGATCAAATAAGATAAACATTGATAAACTAAGATAAACATTGATAAAATAAGATAAACATTGATCAACTAAGATAAACATTGATAAAATAAGATAAACATTGATAAAGTAAGATAAACATTGATCAACTAAGATAAACATTGATCAACTAAGATAAACATTGATCAACTAAGATAAACATTGATAAAGTAAGATAAACATTGATCAACTAAGATAAACATTGATGAAATAAGATAAACATTGATCAACTAAGATAAACATTGATCAACTAAGATAAACATTGATCAAATAAGATAAACATTGATAAAATAAGATAAACATTGATCAACTAAGATAAACATTGATCAACTAAGATAAATATTGATCAACTAAGATAAACATTGATCAACTAAGATAAACATTGATCAAATAAGATAAACATTGATAAACATTGAAGTAAGATAAACATTGATCAACTAAGATAAACATTGATAAACTAAGATAAACATTGATCAACTAAGATAAACATTGATCAACTAAGATAAACATTGATCAACTAAGATAAACATTGATCAACTAAGATAAACATTGATCAACTAAGATAAACATTGATAAAGTAAGATAAACATTGATCAACTAAGATAAACATTGATAAAATAAGATAAACATTGATAAATAAGATAAACATTGATCAAATAAGATAAACATTGATCAACTAAGATAAACATTGATGAAGTAAGATAAACATTGATCAAGTAAGATAAACATTGATAAACTAAGATAAACATTGATAAACTAAGATAAACATTGATAAAATAAGATAAACATTGATAAATAAGATAAACATTGATAAAATAAGATAAACATTGATCAACTAAGATAAACATTGATCAACTAAGATAAACATTGATAAACTAAGATAAACATTGATCAACTAAGATAAACATTGATAAACTAAGATAAACATTGATCAACTAAGATAAACATTGTTCAAATAAGATTGATAAAATAAGATAAAATCAAAGTGATTTCTTCTACATGGAAAAAAATGAAGTACGTAAAAAGAATCCATAAAAGGAATTCATCTTTCTCTAAATACAATATTAACGATAAAAGTTTCAAAGCAGGAAACGGTTCTTGTTGAACAATGCGTCGTCAACATTTTACCAGCAAAAATGTTCTTATACAGTACAAGACTAACATTGGGAACCAATCTCGGGTCCGGAAAATGCCTCGTACATCTTCTCCGGGATGATTCGGGGGTTGTATCGGGAGACTGCATATGTCTCAAAATCTATCACCGCAACAGTCATGGTTTCGCTTCCAAACATCAGATAAATTTGTTTGCTAGAACTGAGGAAAACTCTGCAAAATAAAAGAAAAAAATGAAAAAAATAAGTAAATAAATAAAAGACAAAACATATCATTGTAATTACAAATGTAATGACATACGCGAAGTTAAAAAAAAAGAACCGAATAGACACTAGTTCCAAATGGGCGAATTTTGACAAAGTTTCAGTATGGAAAATAACAAAGTGCAATATCTCCTTAATTATGCAAAAGAGAGTTATCGTTCTTGTACACTGCACTTCTCTTACCTTGATTTATCTACTTATAAAGTTTCATGTTAATAGCTGTTATATTTTTGTGATATCATCCAGACAAAATTAAGACGGACGTATGGTCATTTATCAATTCTACGATGGTAAATATTTACCACTATATGACATTGCGAAGGTGTTACCTGACCAAAAACAGTTGGGTATCACCAGCGCATGCGCTGCCAACGACTTATGAATATTGCTGGTAATGCTAACAATTTGCGTTTGCTTTCCTAAAAACACAAAGATAACACCGACATGTAAACAATGGCAATATACAAGCGAAGAAAAGATTTACCCCTGAAAATGTACAAGGACATTGAGACCAGGGTCCGTATTCATGAAACCGTTCTCATGCTCAAGCATGAATTTTGTGCTCAAGCCTTATGTCTTGTTTAAGTTAAAAATTAATAAATAAGGCTGATTTTGCCAAAGATTAAAAAAATTGAAAGGACTTCAAGCCAAAGCTATATTCAATGCTTATATTTGACATTTGTATTATTTTCTATGATTTAGACGAATGATAAAAAGGCTTGTTTGAGCACAAAATCTATGCTTGAGCATGAGAATGGTTTCATGAATACAAGCCCAGATGTTCCAAAATCTTAAGCGACTTCTTCTTCGTCGACAACACCCGCCATGTAACTCTTGATCAATCGAGATAAGTAATGTCACGTTCTCAAATAAGAACAAGGTAAACAAAGTAGGATGAATATTGAAAGAATTGAAGTATTAAACTGCTTTTTCCTGGGAATTATAAATGTCAAGTGAGAACATTCAGGTTCAACGCGTTAGTTTAATGTTTAAAATCTCTACCTATCACGTGGATAAAGTCATTTCATTGTTATATTAAATTTTCCCGTATAATACATACCTTCGTAAGTGATAACACCGTTGCCGTCTAGATCCGCCTCGCGCATCAGGCTCTGAAATTCCTCTTCTGTCATCTTTTCTCCCAGACCAGTTAAAACAGCTTTCAGTTCACGCATTTCAATCATACCATCTCCGTTTCTGTCAAAAACCTCAAGACAACAAACAGATGCATTAGGTCACAATAACACTTATTTCCTACACATTTCCCCGGGTTTTTAAAAACAAAAGAGTTCCACTTAAATTTTTTTCAATAATGTGAGAAACTTCACCTTCAAAAAACAAAATCGAAATTGGGAAGTACTATTGCTAATAGAAGTAGGAATGCGACCTGATTTTTGTGAGCGACCCCGATTCCAAAAACCATCGAAATTGAATATTTTTATAAGTCACATCAAAAATATGTTTTCGAACCGGACTTACTGTTCTGAAAATTTAAGTAAGATTGAAAATGTATAAATCATTTTCATGGTAGCGTTTACCACTCAAGTATTGTTTCGGCCAATCGAACAAGGACAGCCAACCATTTAGCTGTACGATAAGTCCAGTTGTCCTTTTTTCATTTCTAGATAGCAACATTCCTGCGTCCACAACCTATGGTGTTGACATGTCGCAGTTGATTCTATATTCCAGAGTCTACTTACGATTTTCGCGTAAGATGTCGTAAACTGAAGGAAAAACTCGTAACACACGCCTTCAAAAGATGTAGTTTACTGGAATTTATGGGGAAGTTTTATGGTCATCATTGAGAATTATTTCTGTATGCAATGATCTCACTGAAACTATTCTATTTCTTCGTGCGATATGAAGCTGCACGTGTTTGATGCTCGTTAGGTTGTCTGTTGGTTTCTTTGTTGTTTCCTTTGTTCTCATTTGAGAACGTGACATAACTTACTTGGATTGACCCAACGTTACATGGCGCGTATCGTCGATGAAGCAAGAGACGCTTACTTTTATGGAACATCTGGTTTTATTCATGAGTCTCAATGTAAAAGTTTCTTTTGTTCGCTTTTACCCTAGTTTCACATGTAAATAAAATAATAAAAAAACAACATACAAATGAATTGCAAACTTCGAAATTCTACCTTAAAAGCTTTCTTTATTTCTTCCTCTTCCTTTTCTAGGTCTCGCCATTTTTTCGACATCATCGAAACGAATTCTTCAAAGTCTATTTCACCATCATCTAAAATAGAAGTATTTAAAGCGTTCTTATAGTCCTCATCCGAAGAATTACTCAGTATAAATCTCATAAAACACACAGAGGGAATGAAAAAGAAAAAGAACATAGAATTAGATACTGTATAAGATAAATAGGATAAACTGTATCATACAGCTGTTTCGTCCTTCTAGGACTCGTCAGTGATGTTATATCATACAGTTGTTTCGTCCTTCTAGGACTCGTCAGTGATGTAATATCATACAGCTGTTTCGTCCTTCTAGGACTCGTCAGTGATGTTATATCATACAGTTGTTTCGTCCTTCTAGGACTCGTCAGTGATGTAATATCATACAGCTGTTTCGTCCTTCTAGGACTCGTCAGTGATGTTATATCATACAGCTGTGTCGTCCCTCTAGGACTCGTCAGTGATATTATATCATACAGCTGTGTCGTCCTTCTAGGACTCGTCAGTGATGTTATATCATACAGCTGTTTCGTCCCTCTAGGACTCGTCAGTGATGCTACATCATACAGCTGTTTCGTCCTTCTAGGACTCGTCAGTGATGTTATATTATACAGCTGTTTCGTCCTTCTAGGACTCGTCAGTGATGTTATATCATACATCTGTTTCGTCCTTCTAGGACTCGTCAGTGATGTTATATCATACAGTTGTTTCGTCCTTCTAGGACTCGTCAGTGATGTAATATCATACAGCTGTTTCGTCCTTCTAGGACTCGTCAGTGATGTTATATCATACAGCTGTGTCGTCCCTCTAGGACTCGTCAGTGATGTTATATCATACAGCTGTGTCGTCCTTCTAGGACTCGTCAGTGATGTTATATCATACAGCTGTTTCGTCCCTCTAGGACTCGTCAGTGATGCTACATCATACAGCTGTTTCGTCCTTCTAGGACTCGTCAGTGATGTTATATTATACAGCTGTTTCGTCCTTCTAGGACTCGTCAGTGATGCTATATCATACAGCTGTTTCGTCCTTCTAGGACTCGTCATGATGCTATATCATACAGCTGTTTCGTCCTTCTAAGACTCGTCAGTGTTGTTACATCATGCAGTTGTTTCGTCCTTCTAGGTCTCGTCAGTGATGTAACATCATACAGCTGTTTCGTCCTTCTAGGTCTCTTCAGTGATGTTACATAATACAGCTGTTTCGTCCTTAAATGACTCGTCAGTGCTGTTATATCATACAGCTGTTTCGTCCTTTTAGGTCTCTTCAGTGATGTTACATCATACAGCTGTTTCGTCCTTCTAGGTATCTTCAGTGATGTTACACAATACAGATGTTTCATCCTTCTAGGTCTCGTCAGTGATGTTACATCATACAGCTGTTTCGTCCTTCTAGAACTCGTCAGTGATGTTACATCATACAACTGTTTCGTCCTTCTAGGTCTCGTCAGTGATATTACATCATACAGCTGTTTCGTCCTTCTAGGTCTCTTCAGTGATGTTACATCATACAGCTATTTCGTCCTTCTCGGTATCTTCAGTGATGTTACAGCATACAGATGTTTCGTCCTTCTAAGACTCGTCAGTGATGTTACATCATACTGCTGTTTCGTCCTTCTAGGAATCGTCAGTGATGTTACATCATACAGCTGTTCTGTCGTTCAATGACTCGTCAGTGATATGACATCATACTGCTGTTTCTTCCTTCAATGACTCGTCAGTGATGATACATCATACAGCTGTCATGTCCTTTTTTAAATACGATATTGAACCATCCCACAAAATCTTAATCATAGGTGAAAGTTCCATCCATAGTTATGATTTAACAAACACCTATAGATTATAGTGAAACAATTGTTATTTGATGAGTCGACGAGTTCATACCTGTTTGTTGGAAAATGTTCCATACAGCTGTCTGTGTTCAAGAATGGGCAGTGATATGACATACACACTGATAATTATACAAAACCATGACCTGTAGTGTTGAAAATGTTCATACAGCGTGAGAATGGGCTTTTTTCCATACACACTGAATACTATACAAAACCAGACCTGTAGTTTGTTGGAAAATGTTCCATCATAGTTATGATTTAACAATGGGCTTTATCTCCATACACACTGTTATTTGATACAAAAGTTCAGACCTGTAGTTTGTTGGAAAATGTTCCATCAGGTCGTGAGAATGGGCTTTATCTCCATACACACTGACAACTATACAAAATCAGACCTGTAGTTTGTTGGAAAATGTTCCATCAGGTCGTGAGAATGGGCTTTATCGCCATACACACTAATTACTATACAAAACCAGACCTGTAGTTTGTTGGAAAATGTTCCATCAGTTCTTGAGAATGGGCTTTATCTCCATACACACTGACAACTATACAAAACCAGACCTGTAGTTTGTTGGAAAATGTTCCATCAGGTCGTGAGAATGGGCTTTATCTCCATACACACTGATAATTATACAAAATCAGACCTGTAGTTTGTTGGAATGTTTTCCATCAGGTCGTGAGGTAAAAAATTTATCTCCAAGAGTAGTGTTGTTGATGAAGCTGAAGTCTTCAACCCGTTCGGAACACCTGGTCCGATTTTCCTTGTACTTTTTATGGATTTGTGTGTAAATTTTTGTTTTGTTTATAATTAAACCTTATTTAATTTGCGTTTAAGTTATTTTTTTTTTAATTTTCGGTATTTTCTGTGTTGTATTTACGCTTAGTATTTATACTTACTGTCCTTATCAACTTCCGCTATAATCGCCCGCACGTGCTGTGACGTCGGATTTTGACCTAAAGCTCGCATGACGTCTGTGAGTTCTCTCTCCGTTATCTTACCGTTTTTATCTTTATCAAAAAGTTCAAACGTCCTTTTTATTTCTGCAAATAAATCAAAAACATGGAATTATTCTTTTAAAAATGATATTTTATCGCCTATTTTTACGTTTGTTTTATATACACTGTACTCTCGTTTTTGTACACACAACAATGTCCGAAGGCCAGGATATCATTGCGCTGATATTGATATGCTTATTATAATACGTGTAATGATAATATACTGGACGCAGGCTTATTAAGCCTATATATCCAGATCAGAGTTTTAAAAAGTTAGAATCCCGAATATGGATCAGTGTGTTATTGTCTAGTTCACGATTATAAACACATTCAGTTTGCCTCCAATGATTATCCAATCGGGATTCGAAAGTTTTGATTGTTGGTGATATTACAACGGCATTAGGAAGTGAATTCCAGTGGTTTACCACCCGTTCACAGAAAGAATACTTCCTCAGATTTAGCCTGCTCCTTCTTTATAATGGTGGAAAACTGTGTCCTCTTGTTATCTTGTTATTGTTTTGTGGCTTTGTGTTTATACGTATGTTCTCTGTGTTACTTACTACCTATGTACGTTGAAGTAAAACTGCCTGTCTCTCGTTATGGATGTATAGGTATGTAAGTATGTAGGTAGTGTTGTTGTAGTGAAACAACAATGTCACCATTATGCAAATGTTCGTCGGTTTGCCAAATGTTCACTCAACGGATATTTCGCGTTTCTGGTGAACAAAATCTGCAGTCAGCGGATTTGACCCATTGCGGATTGGGCAATTCCGGTCTGTCACATATAGCTGTCGAGGCAAGTTGGACAGGTGATAGAGTATGTTACGCCGCCAGAGTCGCTTAAATCCTGGATTCTTGTTCAGTATTTTGGTCCGGACATTAGTTTTACCCACCGGAAGTGGTTTCGTTTTGATAACGTTTTGCAGACGTGTTGTCGTCTGCCAGTTGCAATGTATGCATGCCAAGTGACAATGAAACATCTGGGACGATAGTCACTTCTACCTTACGGCATCTGGGATGCTCTATACACAATCCAGAATACCACGACAGTGTAGGTTTGTGTGTTTGATAATTTGCTTGCTGAAAATTGTAACGTAACATAACGCGTGGTTCTGCCTGTGTGTCGAAATGTCAGATATGTAAATTCTAATGTGTGATTATTTGTTATTTCTGTTTTGTTGTTGTTTACGGCTATCCATGGCAATAAAGAATAGCAAGGTTATTCGGAGTTGAAGTTATAAATTGTCGTGGAGGCGTAACAGAGTGAATAAGGCTTTTACAATCTAAGTCACTATTTAGTTTTATAACTTGTCCGTTCTTGAGTATTAATGAATGCCCTACTGTGCTGACGTCTTGTATCTTTCATCTTCGAAACCACAAAGTCGCGTTGGTCATTGGCATAGAACTTTGTTAATGTTTTGTATTTTGATATACACGATATGCGAAGTGTTTCTCATTTTAAAATTATACTGAGAATAACCATAAACTTTAACACGTATATCTAAACACCTAAGCTTTTATATACAAACCTTTTTATCTCGAACTTTTATAACTCGAACACACAGTTTAATTCGAGGTATTTAATCTCTCGCGGCCAAACTTTTCACCAAACATTTTTGATCTCACTTAAATCGAATACTGTGACAACTCCAAGTTTTCCAATTGTTCCGTCGACTTCGAAATAACGAAGTTCAACTATATATATATATACCTGAACCGTGCCAATATTCGAACAAATTTTAAACGTTGCATGAATATTACGTCAAATCTCGGAGACTCTTAATTGTCTAGATATTTCAGGGGCATTTTTGTAGACAAATTTGTATTAAATCTGGTGCACTCTTGGACTATTTTGAGTTAGATTTTTTTGCCCACCAGCCGATATTTCCAAGCGCTCTTAATAAGATTAAAGTTCTGTTATTCAGTAAGTAGTCAGTCGAAATATATCTCTCCATTCCAATGTAACTTAGATAAGTTAAGACGAACGCTTTATTGTATCATATGTGATGTTCATAGAAGTCTAAACAAGCATTTAAAAAAATAATAACATCAAATAATTTTAGACATCAAAGGTAAAGCGATTTTTGGCCAAATGCCAAGTAATTACTGGCTGACTGAAATTATACAAGATAATTAAGTTTTTGATTAAAAAGATTATTGTCACAATTAATAAGGAAATTGTTATTCGGTAAACATAGATGATCAATTAAACAAAATCATATGCTAGTCAGGCAAGAAATATTGATCATGATGACAAGGCAGTTAGGACGAGGATGTTGCTGCTAGGTGAGGCAAGCAGTCTTTAAATCAACACATCGATTTTAGTTAAATACTCTACGTCAATAGAGGTTTTAGAAATAAGTTGTAATCACTAAAATCAAAGCTATCATGCTTAAGTAAGCTGGGATGTTTTTGCACGATGTATCTTGCTTGAAGTCTCAAATTAATGTGACGTTATGTATGTTATAGCGACACTAATCATTTCTCAGAAAGAACGCATTACACTTTGAAAGTAAGGACATATCTATCATGATTTTACCAGCAGACAAAGGCATAGTCGTCATGGACACTGAAGCATATGAACCTAAACCCTTAGCAATGCCCAAACACAACACATGAAAAACTCACCGTCACAGCTCAGATGAAAAGTAAGCGCCTAGTAGCTATTTTATCTAAACTAAAGATTGTACAAAAGACAAAAAATGAAAATCACCTTCTGATAATCTAGAGTTAGATACAGTAGATGTAGTTATAGTAGATAAAGGGGAGAAGTGACCTGATGTAGTTATAGTAGATAAATGGGAGAAGTGACCTGATGTAGTTATAGTAGATAAAGGGGAGAAGTGACCTGATGTAGTTATAGTAGATAAAGGGGAGAAGTGACCTGATGTAGTTATAGTAGATAAAGGGGAGAAGTGACCTGATGTAGTTATAGTAGATAAAGGGGAGAAGTGACCTGATGTAGTTATAATAGATAAATGGGAGAAGTGACCTGATGTAGTTATAGTAGATAAAGGGGAGAAGTGACCTGATGTAGTTATAGTAGATAAATGGGAGAAGTGACCTGATGTAGTTATAGTAGATAAAGGGGAGAAGTGACCTGATGTAGTTATAGTACATAAAGGGGAGAAGTGACCTGATGTAGTTATAGTAGATAAAGGGGAGAAGTGACCTGATGTAGTTATAGTAGATAAATGGGAGAAGTGACCTGATGTAGTTATAGTAGATAAAGGTGGGGGAGTGACCTGATGTAGTTATAGTAGATAAAGGGGAGAAGTGACCTGATGTAGTTATAGTAGATAAAGGGGAGAAGTGACCTGATGTAGTTATAGTAGATAAAGGGGAGAAGTGACCTGATGTAGTTATAGTAGATAAAGGGGAGAAGTGACCTGATGTAGTTATAGTAGATAAAGGGGAGAAGTGACCTGATGTAGTTATAGTAGATAAAGGGGAGAAGTGACCTGATGTAGTTATAGTAGATAAAGGGGAGAAGTGACCTGATGTAGTTATAGTAGATAAAGGGGAGAAGTGACCTGATGTAGTTATAGTAGATAAAGGGGAGAAGTGACCTGATGTAGTTATAGTAGATAAAGGGGGGGGAGGAGTGACCTGATGTAGTTATAGTAGATAAAGGGGGGAGTGACCTGATGTAGTTATAGTAGATGAGTGACCTATGTTATAGTAGATAAAGGATAAAGAGAAGTGACCTGATGTAGTTATAGTAGATAAAGGGGGGAGTGACCTGATGTAGTTATAGTAGATAAAGGGGAGAAGTGACCTGATGTAGTTATAGTAGATAAAGGGGAGAAGTGACCTGATGTAGTTATAGTAGATAAAGGGGAGAAGTGACCTGATGTAGTTATAGTAGATAAAGGGGAGAAGTGACCTGATGTAGTTATAGTAGATAAAGGAGAGAAGTGACCTGATGAAGTTATAGTAGATAAAGGAGAGAAGTGACCTGGTGTAGTTATAGTAGATAAAGGGGAGAAGTGACCTGATGTAGTTATAGTAGATAAAGGAGAGACGTGACCTGGTGTAGTTATAGTAGATAAAGGGGGGAGTGACCTGATGTAGTTATAGTAGATAAAGGAGAGAAGTGACCTGATGTAGTTATAGTAGATAAAGGGGAGAAGTGACCTGATGTAGTTATAGTAGATAAAGGGGAGAAGTGACCTGATGTAGTTATAGTAGATAAAGGGGAGAAGTGACCTGATGTAGTTATAGTAGATAAAGGGGAGAAGTGACCTGATGTAGTTATAGTAGATAAAGGGGAGAAGTGACCTGGTGTAGTTATAGTAGATAAAGGAGAGAAGTGACCTGATGTAGTTATAGTAGATAAAGGAGAGAAGTGACCTGATGTAGTTATAGCAGATAAAGGAGAGAAGTGACCTGATGTAGTTATAGTAGATAAAGGAGAGAAGTGACCTGATGTAGTTATAGTAGATAAAGGGAGAGAAGTGACCTGATGTAGTTATAGTAGATAAAGGAGAGAAGTGACCTGATGTAGTTATAGTAGATAAAGGGGAGAAGTGACCTGATGTAGTTATAGTAGATAAAGGGGGGAGTGACCTGATGTAGTTATAATAGATAAATGGGAGAAGTGACCTGATGTAGTTATAGTAGATAAAGGGGAGAAGTGACCTGGTGTAGTTATAGTAGATAAAGGGGGGGGGGAGTGACCTGATGTAGTTATAGTAGATAAAGGAGAGAAGTGACCTGATGTAGTTATAGTAGATAAAGGGGAGAAGTGACCTGATGTAGTTATAGTAGATAAAGGGGAGAAGTGACCTGATGTAGTTATAGTAGATAAAGGGGAGAAGTGACCTAATGTAGTTATAGTAGATAAAGGGGAGAAGTGACCTGATGTAGTTATAGTAGATAAAGGTGAGAAGTGACCTGATGTAGTTATAGTAGATAAAGGGGAGAAGTGACCTGGTGTAGTTATAGTAGATAAAGGGGGAAGTGACCTGATGTAGTTATAGATAAAGGAGAGATAAAGGTTATAGTAGATAAGTGACCTGATGTAGTTATAGTAGATAAAGGAGATAAGTGACCTGATGTAGTTATAGTAGATAAAGGGGAGAAGTGACCTGATGTAGTTATAGTAGATAAAGGAGATAAGTGACCTGATGTAGTTATAGTAGATAAAGGAGATAAGTTATAGTAGATAAAGGAGATAAGTGACCTATGTAGTTATAGTAGATAAAGGAGATAAGTGACCTGATGTAGTTATAGTAGATAAAGGGGGGGGGGAGTGACCTGATGTAGTTATAGTAGATAAAGGAGATAAGTGACCTGATGTAGTTATAGTAGATAAAGGAGATAAGTGACCTGATGTAGTTATAGTAGATAAAGGGGGGGAGTGACCTGATGTAGTTATAGTAGATAAAGGAGATAAGTGGCCTGATGTAGTTATAGTAGATAAAGTGGACGAGATGTGCTATTAAAGAAATGGTGGTTTGGTTTAAGTAAAGAAGTGTTATAAAGCGGGGAATGACAATACATTAACCTTACTACACTCGCTAGAAGAAAGTCATATTTCATATACAATTTTCTGTTAAGGTGTATGTTTGTCGATGTGGAGGTGTCGATTAAGTGGAGAAATGTTGATAATAATTATTGCCATGACTCAGGATTTCAGACAATCGGGATACGACATCTGTATCATAGTAATATACTGTAATTAATTGTATCAAGCAGTAGCTTGGATAACGAGTACCTAACACGCCAATCCCCTAACGATACAAAACCTAATCTGTTCTTCACAATTCTGTACATGTGTATCTATGGCGTATTCAAGGTAGCGTGTATTGAAGGACGTCGTGAAGACTGGGGTACTGGAGGGGGCGTGGCTCAACCTTTGGATATTTGCGTTCTTTCTAATTTGTTTAGATCGTTAGATCCTTTATTGACAAAAGAAGGGGGCGGTTTCTATAGTGTTTATATCATTTATAAACGTCCATATTTCAATGTGTATTGTACCTAAAATAGACGTATTCCTTATTGTTCATCTGGTAAACGGGTGGACGTCGTGGCCAGGCTTCCGTTTTTTTGTTTGTCTGGATTTTAACTTAGGTCTACATGTATTAATTATAAACGGAACAATGCTCCGTCTTAATTGCTTAATTGATACAGATAATGCTGTTATCCTATGAAGGTATAGAATTGTCGTGTCTCTTCACTCTGGTATAATGTTCGTATACCGGATTCCTGTCCATAACTTTATAACAATAAATACATTTCTGGTATAAATACGGAGCTTGTCAGGTGTGAGGATGTTGTTGGGTTGTTGTTGTACCGTTGAATGAGGGAGACGACAGCACTGTAGTATAATGAGACTAGAAATAAGGTATGAGAAATTAGGGGTGCGGGGTAAGTGGAGGGGCAAGGCATAGAAGGGAGGTTAAAGGAAGTGAGGGGCATGGAAGGAAGGTTATAATAAACTTTATTTATTTTACAGTTTTTCCAACTTATATTAATCACTCTTGTTGGCTCGGATGGAGGCGCTCGAGGGGTCTTAGTGTGGGAGGAAACCGGAGTATCCGGGGGAAAAACCCACGTGGTCGGGCAGATGACCCCATACCTTTTTACATCCATTCCGGGAATCGAACCCCGGATGGCTAGGTGAAAGGCGAGTGCTTTACCACTGCACCACCCGACCACCCAAAGGGAAGGGAGGTGAGGGGCGTGGAAGGGAGGTGAAGGGAGCGGCGGGTCGTTGAAGGGAGGTAAAAAAGAGGCGGGTCGTTGAAAGGAGGTAAGAAAGGGGCGGGACGTGGAAGAGAGGTTAGGGGAGGGGCGGGGCGTGGAATGGAAATTAGGGAGAGAGGGGGGGGGCTAGAATGGAGGTTATGGGCGGGGCATGATAGGAAGGATAAGGAATGAGCGGGGCGTGGAAGGGAGATTATGGGAGCGGCGGGCGTGAAAGGAAGGATAGGGGAGGGGCGGGGCGTGGATAAGGGGTGACACGATAGACAGGTAGGGATGGTTGTTATTCGGTTTGTCGCCCCGTTAATGGCCGGGATCATTTTGAGTATATGTCTTAGTAAGGGCCAATAGTGTCCAAAACACATCCCACGAATAAAACAATGGATATGAATTACAAGTAGTTGCGTTTTTTCTGTCCTCCATAGGAAGCCCTCTGGAATTGATGGTCATTTCTCTTGTTGATATTAATATATGTACCATCAGATATGATGTTGACTTTTTCTCACTCAAATGTTTTTGTGAAAGCTGTGTTGTATGCATGGACTTCTTCACTAGAGATATGGGAAGTACCACGAGATTTGGGTACAATTGTTGTGTTCAAAATATCTACAACTTTGTGAAATAGCCTACAGAGTGAGGTTTGGCACAAATTTGTAACTACCGTCATTTCCTTCCAGGATAAATTGGTTTTTAATTTTGCCCAAAACTGGAGGAGTATATCTGGCAATTATAAGGTTTTGTTTTCAGTTTTTGAACCTCGGCAACTTGGAATGACGCACCTGTCATTTATTTTGATGCAATAACTAAACTACTTTGACTATTGGTACAAATTATTACTTGATGATATCATTCAACCAATAGATATATATTGCTATACCTCTCACAACTGAATGTAGAACTGTAACACTTCAGAATCGTTCACATACTACAGGAATTAGATGAAATAAGACCACTACACTCTGTTGAGGCTCAGGTATGTCCTTTATGTAAGGTGACTATTTTGACCTAACTGTTTTTCAACAGCTACCTCTAGGCTCTATATACATATATAGGGTTTCTTCATTGTTGTTGTTAGGTCACTTCATTTTAATACATACAATTTAATGACATTTGTAAAATGATGAAAAATCACAAATTAAAATTCCAGTGAATTTTTGGTAAATGTTTGCCTTGTCGGATTACTGTTTATTAGATCATTATACTATTCTTCGTTGCAATTTCTAGAAATATAAATGGCAATTTTACCGGTTTTCAATTTTTGTGAAACTTTCACTATATTCACTTAAGATAATGAGTTCTCAAGGCGAGACAATGTGAGAAAAAGGGTGTGTGTGGCGAGATTATGTGAGATAAAGGGTCGTGTGGCGAGATTATGTGAGAACAAGGGTGCGTGTGGCGAGATTATGAGGAATCTTGGGTGCATGTAGCGAAACTATGTGGAATCGAGGGTGCATGTGCCGAGATAATGGAAGAACAAGGGTGCATGTGCCGAGATAATGGGAGAACAAGAGTGCGTGTGGCGTGATTATGTGAGAACAAGGGTGCATGTGGCGAGATTATGTGGGATAAAGGGTGCATGTGGCGAGATTACGTGAGAACAAGGGTGTGTGTGGCGAGATTACGTGAGATAAAGGGTGGATGTGGCGAGATTAAGTGAGAACAACGGTGCATGTGGCGAGATTATGTGAGATAAAGGGTGGATGTGGCGAGATTACGTGAGAACAAGGGTGCGTGTGGCGTGATTATGGGAGGTCAAGGGTGCCTGTGGCGAGATTATTGGAAAACAAGAGTGCGTGTGGCGAGATTATGTGAGATAAAGGGTGCATGTGGCGAGATTACGTGAGAACAAGGGTGTGTGTGTGGCGAGATTATAGGAGGTCAAGGGTGCGTGTGGCGAGATTATGTGAGAACAAGGGTGGATGTGGCGAGATTACGTGAGAACAAGGGTGTGTGTGGCGAGATTATGGGAGGTCAAGGGTGCGTGTGGCGAGATTATGTGAAAACAAGGGTGGATGTGGCGAGATTACGTGAGATCAAGAGTGCATGTGGCGAGATTAAGTGAGAACAAGGGTGCATGTGGCGAGATTATGTGAGATAAAGGGTACATGTGGCGGGATTACCTGAGAACAAGGGTGCGTGTGGCGTGATTATGGGAGGTCAAGGGTGCCTGTGGCGAGATTATTGGAAAACAAGAGTGCGTGTGGCGAGATTATGTGAGAGAATTTGCGGAACGAGAATGTGAAAATGTAAAAGAAAGAAAGGTCAGTGATTGTGAGAGTGATGATGCGTTTGGTGAGATTGTGAGAATGATGATGCGTTTGGTGAGATTGTGGGAATGATGATGCTTTTGGTGAGATTGTGAGAATGATGATGCTTTTGGTGAGATTGTGAGAATGATGGTGCTTTTGGTGAGATTGTGAGAGGGATGTTGCATTTGGTGAGATTGTGAGAGGGATGTTGCGTTTGGTGAGATTGTGAGAGGGATGTTGCGTTTGGTTAGATTGTGAGAGGGATGTTGCGTTTGGTGAGATTGTGAGAGCGATGTTGCTTTTGGTGAGATTGTGAGAGGGATGTTGCATTTGGTGAGATTGTGAGAGGGATGTTGCATTTGGTGAGATTGTGAGAGGGATGTTGCATTTGGTGAGATTGTGAGAGGGATGTTGCATTTGGTGAGATTGTGGGAATGATGATGCTTTTGGTGAGATTGTGAGAGGGATGTTGCATTTGGTGAGATTGTGGGAATGATGATGCTTTTGGTGAGATTGTGAGAGGGATGTTGCGTGGGATTAAATTGTGAGAGAGTAAAAGTGGCAACCGAGATAGTCAGAGACAGATGTACAAGGTGAAAAATTCTGTGTGTGTTGAGATTGTAAATCGGAATTCACGCAATGTGGTTATAATAACAAGAGATAAAGGAATGGCGATTGGTTGGAAGGAAGTGATCACATACATACCCTCTCTCATTTTCTGTGATCCCGCTGATTGTTGCTCCTACAATTAATCAAATTTCCAATTAATCCTTAGTACAAGATGTCTAGCCTCTACACTGTTATTGTTAAGACCTCATCAATATCAATTATCTTTCCTTAAAATACTGACCAAACTATTTAAACAAATAAGAGTTAAGAGAGGATATGCAAATTGTATATAACTCGTGTATGGCTTGTTTATGACAAAAAAAGAGAGAGTGTCTTACGTTTGGGCGAAATCACTCAGGAAACAAAATTAAGATGCAATTGTGGTTATAACCCCTCAGAAGACATACACAGTATTTGGGGGTTTAGTTCTGGGTATAACCCCTCAGAAGATATACACAGTAAGATAACCCATACACAGTATATATACTGTAACCCTCAGAATATATACACAGTATTTGGGGGGTTTAGTTCTGACGATAACCCCTCAGAATATATACACAGTATTTAGGGGAATATATACACAGTATTTGGGGGGTTTAGTTCTGACTGTAACCCTCAGAATATATACACAGTATTTGGGGGGTTTAGTTCTGACTGTAACCCTCAGAATATATACACAGTATTTGGGGGTTTAGTTCTGACTGTAACCCCTCAGAATATATACACAGTATTTGGGGGTTTAGTTCTGACTGTAACCCTCAGAATATATACACTGACTGACTGTAACCCCTCAGAATATATACACAGTATTTGGGGGTTTAGTTCTGACTGTAACCCCTCAGAATATATACACAGTATTTGGGGGTATTAGTTCTGACTGTATAACCCCTCAGAATATATAACCCCTCAGAAGATATACACAGTATTTAGGGGTATACTCAGTATACACAGTGGGGGGTTTAGTTCTGACTGTAACCCTCAGAATATATACACCTTATTTGGGGGTTTAGTTCTGACTGTAACCCTCAGAATATATACACAGTATTTGGGGGTTTAGTTCTGGGTATAACCCCTCAGAATATATACACAGTATTTGGGGGTTTAGTTCTGACGATAACCCCTCAGAAGATATACACAGTATTTGGGGGTTTAGTTCTGACTGTAACCCTCAGAATATATACACAGTATTTGGGGGGTTTAGTTCTGACTGTAACCCCTCAGAAGACATACACAGTAGATATACACAGTATTTGGGGGGTTTAGTTCTGACTGTAACCCTCAGAATATATACACAGTATTTGGGGGTTTAGTTCTGACTGTAACCCCTCAGAAGATATACACAGTATTTGGGGGTTTAGTTCTGACTGTAACCCTCAGAAGATATACACAGTATTTGGGGGTTTAGTTCTGGGTATAACCCCTCAGAAGACATACACAGTATTTAGGGGTATACACAGTATTTGGGGGGTTTAGTTCTGACTGTAACCCTCAGAATATATACACAGTATTTGGGGGTTTAGATATACACAGTATTTGGGGGTTTACTGTAACCCCTCAGAAGATATACACAGTATTTGGGGGGTTTAGTTCTGTCTGTAACCCCTCAGAAGATATACACAGTATTTGGGGGGTTACACAGTTTTGAGGATGTAACCCCTCAGAATATATACACAGTATTTGGGGACTAGTAACTGTAACCCTCAGAATATATACACAGTAGTATTTAGGGGTATACTGTAACCCCTCAGAATATATACACAGTATTTGGGGGTTTAGTTCTGACTATAACCCTCAGAAGACATACACAGTATTTGGGGGTTTAGTTCTGGGTATAACCCCTCAGAAGATATACACAGTATTTGGGGGTTTAGTTCTGACTGTAACCCCTCAGAAGATATACACAGTATTTGGGGGGTTTAGTTCTGACTGTAACCCTCAGAATATATACACAGTATTTGGGGGGTTTAGTTCTGACTGTAACCCTCAGAATATATACACAGTATTTGGGGGGTTTAACTCTGACGATAACCCCTCAGAAGACATACACAGTATTTGGGGGTTTAGTTCTGACTGTAACCCTCAGAATATATACACAGTATTTGGGGGGTTTAGTTCTGACTGTAACCCCTCAGAAGATATACACAGTATTTGGGGGTTTAGTTCTGACTGTAACCCCTCAGAAGATATACACAGTATTTGGGGGTTTAGTTCTGACTGTAACCCCTCAGAATATATACACAGTATTTGGGGGGTTTAGTTCTGACTGTAACCCCTCAGAATATATACACAGTATTTGGGGGTTTAGTTCTGACTGTAACCCCTCAGAAGATATACACAGTATTTGGGGGTTTAGTTCTGGGTATAACCCCTCAGAAGACATACACAGTATTTAGGGGTATACACAGTATTTGGGGGGTTTAGTTCTGACTGTAACCCCTCAGAAGACATACACAGTATTTGGGGGGTTTAGTTCTGGGTATAACCCCTCAGAAGATATACACAGTATTTGGGGGGTTTAGTTCTGACGATAACCCCTCAGAAGACATACACAGTATTTGGGGGTTTAGTTCTGACTGTAACCCCTCAGAAGATATACACAGTATTTGGGGGTTTAGTTCTGACGATAACCCCTCAGAAGATATACACAGTATTTGGGGGTTTAGTTCTGGGTATAACCCCTCAGAAGACATACACAGTATTTGGGGGGTTTAGTTCTGACTGTAACCCTCAGAATATATACACAGTATTTGGGGGTTTAGTTCTGGGTATAACCCCTCAGAATATATACACAGTATTTGGGGGTTTAGTTCTGACTGTAACCCCTCAGAAGACATACACAGTATTTGGGGGTTTAGTTCTGGGTATAACCCCTCAGAATATATACACAGTATTTGGGGGTTTAGTTCTGACTGTAACCCTCAGAATATATACACAGTATTTGGGGGTTTAGTTCTGACTGTAACCCCTCAGAAGATATACACAGTATTTGGGGGTTTAGTTCTGACTGTAACCCCTCAGAAGATATACACAGTATTTGGGGGGTTTAGTTCTCTAACTGTAACCCCTCAGAATATATACACAGTATTTGGGAGGTTTAGTTCAGAAGACTGACTGTAACCCTCAGAATATATACACAGTATTTGGGGGTTTAGTTCTGACTGTAACCCTCAGAATATATACACAGTATTTGGGGGTTTAGTTCTGACTGTAACCCTCAGAAGATATACACAGTATTTGGGGGGTTTAGTTCTGACTGTAACCCTCAGAATATATACACAGTATTTACACAGTATTTGGGGGGTTTAGTTCTGACTGTAACCCTCAGAATATATACACAGTATTTGGGGGTTTAGTTCTGGGTATAACCCCTCAGAAGACATACACAGTATTTAGGGGTATACACAGTATTTGGGGGGTTTAGTTCTGACTGTAACCCTCAGAATATATACACAGTATTTGGGGGTTTAGTTCTGACTGTAACCCTCAGAATATATACACAGTATTTGGGGGTTTAGTTCTGACTGTAACCCTCAGAATATATACACAGTATTTGGGGGTTTAGTTCTGACTGTAACCCTCAGAATATATACACAGTAGAAGACATACACAGTATTTGGGGGGTTTAGTTCTGACTGTAACCCTCAGTATACACAGTATTTGGGGGAGGTTTAGTTCTGACTGTAACCCCTCAGAATATATACACAGTATTTGGGGGGTATTAGTTCTGACTATAACCCCTCAGAAGAATATATACACAGTATTTAGGGGACATACACAGTATTTGGGGGTTTAGTTCTGGGTATAACCCCTCAGAAGACATACACAGTATTTAGGGGTATACACAGTATTTGGGGGGTTTAGTTCTGACTGTAACCCCTCAGAAGACATACACAGTATTTAGGGGTATACACAGTATTTGGGGGGTTTAGTTCTGACTGTAACCCCTCAGAATATATACACAGTATTTGGGGGGTTTAGTTCTGACTATAACCTCTCAAAAGATATACACAGTATTTGGGAGGTTTAGTTCTGGGTATAACCCCTCAGAAGATATAAACTAATTTTTTTCGGTGTTCTGACTATAACCTATTAACAGTTGGCATTCTCCCACTTGTAACCAGAAGACATGGTACAGTAGAAACCGGCATGGTTTACCTTTTGAGTGTTTGATTGCCTGTTCATTTGATAATCTTTTCGCCTGCGTCCGCAGTTCTGAAAAGACAGAAACGTAAGTTTAATTGATTTCTGACCATAAGGCCCGTTCGTCAAGAAAATTTGATTTATTGATTTAAACATATTTTATTGAACAATTTAGATGGGATTGGGCACAAGTTTTCCAACTTATATCAAGCCCTTTCGGAGAGAGAGAGAGAGTGAAAGAAAGAGAGAGAGAGTGGGAGTATGAGAGAGACAGAGAGAGAGACTGAGAGATAGAGACAGAGTGAGAGAGAGACAGAGACAGAGAGGGAAAGACAGAGACAGAGAGAGACAGAGACAGGGAGAGAGAGAGACAGAGAAGAGAGGGACAGACAGAGACATAGAGAGACACAGAGAGACAGAGAGAGAGAGAGAGACAGAGAGAGAAACATTCAATCAAATCCCTATTTTACTTTTTTTGCAATTAAGAGATATCATCATCTTTGCTTAATTTCTGGTCGCCATATATTAGTAAATGTAATTAAATTCTCAAAGAGAGGTTGTAACTGTCTCATTAATACATTTCGATTATGAATGTATAGGGGACAAACATCAAAATAGTAATAAAAGTCTTCACATGGGTTGCTGCACCTACATTCAGCTTTTGCTCTGAAAATGCGCAATCAAGAGATCTGGCAGGATATCTCAAACGGAAATGAAGTATGTTTAAATTACGTAAATCCCATACCTAAAAGCATCTGTCATGTATTATTTCTGTCTTACTGATAATTGATTTAAATGTATTGATAGAGTTCCTTATAGAAATATCTATGTCATACCACTTTTTTGTTGTTGATGAGAAAAAGAATTTCGCTCGCTTAAGAGATAATCTGAAGTTGTAGTGATTGGAAACCATTTGGAAATTAAAAGATTGATGTTAAGATTAAATTTCACATCTCAAACAATCCACGATTTAATTGTTTTATTATTTTTTAATGACCTCTAACGAAACAAAATAGAAACAATGTCGTGAAAGTTTCGATATCATGTAATTTCCCTTTTCTATTGAAAAAAAAGGTTTCGATCCAAGCACCTTTAGAGTCGAGAGCGGAGAGTTTACCACTGTGCTATCGCAACGTTACACATGATAAACGTAAAATTAAGGAATCTTATTAAGTATGTAGTTTACTCCATCTATTGATCATATTTTGTGTTTGTGTGGAATGCAAAACTTGTGTCAAGAAAAACAAAGATGACAATGATGTGGTCAGTACACTAAACATTCAAATATCTCCATATCAACAAGCACTGCACCCCTATTCTTACACTAAAAATCACCCAAATAACATACATTACACAAGTCTGATCTTTAAGTGAGGAACAAAGTATCTATTCGCTAGGTTTTTTTCTGTAAGTGTACGTTAAATGTCGTACGACAGATAACCTGTTTTACACTGTAAGATGACGCCAGCAGTATGTGTTTCAC